TTTATAGCTGTTTTTCTGCTTTCCTTAGGTAAGCGTTAATTTTCTTTTGTTTTTCTAATAATAAAGAATTGACGGTCATAAATAAAGCATTTCTTAGATCCCTTAGATTTTGAAATAAATTGTTCTTATATTCTTTCTATTTTTTAACTTAAACTTTTGTTTTTGACTTCCTCTTTGAGTCAGTGACTGTCTGCTTTTTAAAATAATTTTATTTATTATTTATTTATTTGTGGCTGTGCTGAATCTCTGTTGCTGCTCAGGCTTTTCTCTCATTGCCGCAAGCAGGGTCTACTCTTTGTGGCAATGTGCATTGCAGTGGTTTCTCTTGCTGGGGAGCGCAGACTCTAGGGCGTGCGGGCTTCAGCAGTTGTGGAACACAGGCTCATTAGATGTGGTTCCCAGGCTCTAGAGCACAGGCTCAATAGCTGTGGCCCTCGGGCTTCGTTGCTCTGAGGCATGTGGGATCTTCCCAGATCCGTGATTGAATCTGGGTCTCCCACAATTGCAGGTGGCTTCTTTACCACTGAGCCACCAGGGAAGCCCTGCCCTTCGTTGTTGCTGTTGTTAACAAGGTTGCTTCTTAGTTCCCATGTGGTTAAGATTTATTGTGGCTACCTTTCTCCTATTTTTTCTATTTATTTTGGATTGTAATCAGAGAACGTTTCTTGTGAAGTCACTGCTATAGAAAATTTCTTAATAGGTCTTCTTTCCAGTCTGTTGCAGAATTACCCAGTAGAAGTATAATGTATACTACATGCGTAACTGAAAGCTTTTAGTTGGCATATTTAGAAAAGCAAAAAGAGGGTTACATTAATTTTAATAGTATATTTTATTAAATCATATATATATATAATATTATCCTTTAAAGATATACCCAGCGTAAAAAATTTTTAAGTGTTTGTTCGCTATTGTTTCTTTCAGTTTTACTGAGATATAATTGACAGGCAGCCCTGAATAAGCTTAAAGTGGATGGTGGAGTAATTTGACTTTTCTAGATCATGAGGCGATTGCTGTAACAAGTTTAGTGATCACTCATCATCTTATATAGATACAAAATTAAAGGAGCAGAAAATATTTTTTACCTTGTGATGAGAATTCTTAGAATATCCTCTCAATGATGTTCATATGTAACATACAACTGTTAATTTTATCTATCGTGTTGTACATTACACCTCTGTCATTATTTCTTTCATAACTGAAGCTTGTCCCCTTAGACTGCCTTCATCCAACTCCCCTTTGCCCCTGCTCTCTGCCTCTGGTAGCCACAAATTTGATTTCCATTTCTATGTATTTGCTGATTTTTGAAATATAATTGACCACAGCGCTATGTTAGTTCTGTTAGACAACACAGTGATTCAGTACTTCCATACCCTTCAAAAGAATCACCATGATAAATGCAGTTATGATATTCACAGTAGAAAGGTATTACATAACTTTTGACTCTATTTCTTGCACTGTTATTTCATACCTGTGACATTTATTTTGCAACTGGAAGTTTGGACCTTTTAAAAACTTTTTAATTGGAGGATAATTGCTTTACAAAATTCTGTTGGTTTCTGCCATACATCAACATGAGTCAGCCACAGGTATATGTATAACTCCTCTTTTGAACCCCTCCCCATTTCCCACGCCACCCCTCCCCTCTGCTGCTAAGTCGCTTCAGTCGTGTCCGACTCTGTGCGACCCTATAGACGGCAGCCCACCAGGCTCTCCCGTCCCTGGGATTCTCCAGGCAAGAACACTGGAGCGGGTTGCCCTTTCCTTCTCCAAACGGAGACACAGACATGGAGAATAGACTTGTGGACACATTACTGCTCTGTAAATAGGTTCATTAGTACCATCTTTCTAGATTCCATATACATGCATTGAAAGAAAGTGTCAGTCACTCAGTCATGTCTGACTCTTTGTGACCCATGGACTGTAGCTCACCAGGTTCCTCTGTCCATGGAATTCTCCGGGCAAGAATACTGGAGCGGGCTGCCATGTCCTTCTCCAATGTATGCATTAATATATATTTGTTTTTCTCTTTCTGACTTCTCCCCTGTGTGTAACAGGCTCTGGGTTCATCCACCTCATCAGGGCTGACTCAAATGTGTTCCTTTATATGGCTGTGTAATAGTCCACAGTGCATATGGACCACAAGGAAGTTTGTATTTTCACCCCCCTAACCCTTCTCTCTCCTATTCGCTCCCCCATCCCCTCTGTCAGCTGCTTGTTTGCTCTCTGTATCTATGAGTCTGTTTGTTTTGTCATGGTTGTTCATTTGCTTTGTCTTTTTTCCCACATGTAAGTGAAATCATACAGTATTTGTCTTTCTCTGTCTTACTTCACTTAGAATAATACCCTCTAGGTCCATCCACATTGCTGCAAATGACAAGATTTCTTTCTTTCTTATGGCTGAGTAATATTCAATAGCCAATATATTTTGGCTATTGTAAACAGCGATGCAACAAACATAGGGGTGTATATATCTTTTCTAATTAGTATTTTCCATTTCCTTGTGTGAATACCCAGGAGTAGAATTTCTGGCTCATATGGTAGTCCTATTTTTACCTTTTTGAGAATCTCTGTAGTGTTTTCCATAGTGGCTCTCCCAATTTACATTGACACCAACAGTGCCCTAGAGTTCCCTTTTTTCTACATCCTTGCCAGCACTTGTTATTTATTGTCTTTTTGATAATAGTCATTCTGACAGGTGTGAGGTAATAGTTCCTTATGATCTGATCTGCATTTCTCTGATGATTAGTGATGTTAAGCGTCTTTTTATGTGTCTGTTGGCCTTCTGTATGTCTTCTCTGGAAAAATGTGTGTTTGAGTATTCTGCCCATTTTTAATCTTGTTTTGTTGTTGTTGACTTGTATGAATTCTTTGTGTACTTTGGTTATTAACATATTATTAGATATATCATTTGCAAATATCTTCTTCCATTCGGTAAGTGGCCTTTCCCTTTTGCTTGTAATTTTCTTTGCTGATCAAAAGATTTTAGTTTGATAAAGTCCATTTGTTTATTTTACTTTTCTTTCTCTTGTCTGAGGAGTCATATCCTCCCAAAATATGTATTACTAATATCAAACTTAAAGAGCATACTGCCTATGTTTTCTACTAGAAGTTTTATGGTTTTAGGTCTTACATTTAAGTCTTTATTTTGAATTTATTTTTGCTCATGGCATGAGAGATTATTCCAGTTTGATTCTTTTGCATGTAGCTGTCAAATTTTCCCCACACATTCAAGAGAATTTTCCCCATTGTATTGTCTTACGTGCTTTGTCATGGGTTAATTGCCTGTGTAAGTGTGGAGTTATTTCTCCTCTATATTCTGTTCCATTGACTCTGTGTCTGTTTTAGCATCAGTACCATACTGTTTTGATCACTTTAGCTTTGTAGTACAGTTTGAAACCAGGAAGTGTGACGGCTCTAGTTCTGTTCCTTTTTTTAATTTGAAACATAATTAATTTGCAATCTTGTGTTAGTCTCTGTTGTACAGTAAAGTGATTCAGATATATATTCTTTTTCAGATTTTTTCCATTACAGATTATTACATGGTATTGAATAACTTCCCTGTTATATACAGTAGAAACTTACTATTTATCTATTTTATATATAGAGATGGATATCTGTTATCTGAACATAAGCTATAAGATGTAATGAAGGCCCAGATTAATGTACACTTCAGTCCCTAAACAGTGTAGTGGAAGACTGGCACCTTCAGCATCAGAAGAGGAGTTCAGAGAGGCTGTTCTGAAGCCAGGGGAAACCCTCCTATCCCAGGGTGAGCAGACCTTGGGGGCTGGCACCCTTTGAATCCTGCTGTGTCATTACTGAGATCTGCTTGCCCACTGATGCTTTGCTGTTGTTGTTCTTCAGTCGCCAAGTATTGTCCAACTCTTTGTGACCCCATGAACTGCAGCATGGCAGGCTTCTTTCTCCTTCACTATCTTCTGGAGTTTGCTCAAACGCATGTCCATTGAGTCAGTGATGTCATCCAACCATCTCATCCTTTGTCACCTCCTTCTCCTCTTGCCCTCAGTCCTTCCCAGAATCAGGGTCTTTTCCAATGAGTTGGCTGTTCATATCAGCTAGCCAAAGTATTGGAGTTTCAGCTTCAGTATCAGTCCTTCCAATGAATATTCAGGGTTGATTTCCTTTAGGATTGACTGGTTTGATCTCCTTGCAGTCCAAGGAATTCTCAAGAGTTTTCTACAGCACCACAGTTAGAAAGCATCAATTCTTTGGTGCTCAGCTTTCTTTATGGTCCACTCTCACATCTGAACATGACTACTGGAAAAACCAATGCTTTAGGTAACAGCAACATGTATTCCATACGACAGATAAATAATTCTTAACCAGTCCCTCTGCTGTCTCCATTAAGGGTCTTTTCAGATGTTTCCATATCTGATGGCTGCTCCAATACACTGTCTCCTGAACAGTTAAAGAGTTGTCCCGTGTGGAACAGGAACAAACCAGAGAGCCACCATCCCCTTTTTGCTGAGAGAAAGCTGTCTTAGCAATGTTATATGTTTCCCTGGATATGTTCTGTGTTCACCCATGAATGGGGGAAAGAGATTCAAGAGCTCTCAGATAAAGTCACATCCAAAGGCGGTTCTGGGTGGGGACTGGGGCAGAGGTGACTCCTCAGCGTTCAGTCCAGCCCCAGAGAAGAGGGTGAGCAGAGAGGTGGGAGGTGACCATGGGAATGGGCAGGCATAATCTTGCTTTGGGTCTTGGATGAAGAACAAGAGAGTGAACTCGAATGTTCTCCAGAGGGAGCAGCAGAGTCAGAGGAGTTTTTCCAAGATAAGGGGGAGTGATCTTTCCGGGTGAAAGCAGAGGTGAAAACACAGGCATAGACCTATCCTGTAGTATGTGGTGTAATCATCAATCCCTGCCTTCCAATGGCATGCCATTTTGCTTAAGTGACTTGATGATAAAATAAAGATAAGGGAACACATATAGGCGGCACAGCCCCACCAGAAAGTCAGTTGCTTCTGGTTTTTGTGGAGATGGCCCTGGGACTGCAGCTTCGGCGGCAGGTGCTGGCTGGACTCCTGCTCTGTCTGTGCGTCGGGCGATGGGCCGAGGCTGGGAAGGTGCTGGTGGTCCCCATGGAGGGCAGCCACTGGCTCAGCATGCGGGAGGCCGTGCGGGAGCTCCACGCCAGAGGTCACCAGGCAGTGGTCCTGTCTCCGGAGGTCAATGTTCACATCAAGGCAGAGGACTTTTTCACCACGAAAACCTACGCCGTTCCCTACACACAGGAGGAATTTGTTTCTGTCACGAAGAGCCATATTCATGTGTTTTTTCAAAGAGAACATTTTCTAACAATGTTTTGGGAAACTATGGCAACTTTGAAAAATGTGTCTTTGCTCTTTGCAAGGTCTTGTGAGGCACTGTTGTATAATAAGGATCTGATCAGGCACCTGAATGCCAGTTCCTTTGATGTGGTTTTAACAGATCCTTTTAATCCCTGTGGGGCAGTGCTGGCTAAGTACCTGTCCGTTCCTGCTGTGTTTTTTTTGCGATCTGTTCTGTGTGGCTTAGATGTTGAGGGTACAGCTTGCCCAAACCCTTTCTCATATGTTCCCAGGTTGTTAACAAGGAATTCAGACCACATGACATTCTTCCAAAGGGTGAAGAACATGCTCTACCCTCTGAGCCTGAAGTACATTTGCCAGGTTGCTTTCACTCCTTATGAACGTATGGCCTCTGAGCTTCTTCAGAGAGAGGTGTCACTGGGAGAGATTCTTGCCTCTGGATCCGTGTGGCCGTTCAGAGGAGACTTTGTGATGGACTACCCCCGGCCAATCATGCCCAACATGGTGTTCATTGGGGGTATCAACTGTGCCAACAGGAAGCCGTTATCTCAGGTTGGTACTGCTGCTTTTGCTCAATCAGTGTTCCAAGCAGAGCACATTTTATTTTTTTAAAAACAACAATTCAGGGTGTTTTGTTATGTACTGATCTTTCTGATGACTTCCAGCTCTCATTCTCCTCCTCACCGTCTGTGGTGAGACACCCTGTTAAAGTGCCTCCGGGAGTGCAGTAAAGGCTTGCAGTGGTCTCTGAGGGGAGTGAGAGGCAGGGGTGAGGGTGTGTAATAGGATTGACCACCGTGATTGCCCTTTTGTAAAGTCATCGGTGTAACTGTTGTGCAGTTTTCTCCAGCTGAGTAGGAGCAGGAACTTGAGCTGTGAATTTACCCTTCAGGGGATTTGCCTGAGGGTGTTCAGTAGAAGTGTAAGCAAAGTGGAGTCTGGTTGCTTGTGGCTCAAAAGACAATAAGGAAGCAACTGGTGGATGTGAAAGTTTGCTTGAATGAATGTGCCCGGGATGGGGATGCAGAGAGGCGAGTCCTGTCCAAACACTTATTCCCTCCTTGCACAATCCGGGGCAAGAGCTTTTATTGACAGAGGGAAGGGGGCTCCATGTAGAAACAGCACAGTCGGCTCTGACCGTCATCTTGAAATCAGTGATCTGACCAGCATCATTTTGATTGTTTTCAGTACAGTTAATCTTCAGTTCAGGGCTGGTTTGTTCCCATTCCTTGTGGCCAGTTCTCAGAATTTCGGCAGCTTCTATGTCATGGCTATAGTCTGGTCACCATGTATTTAACTTTTTCCACCTCATGGGGGTTTCAGTATCTATGACAGCTCACAGGATATGGCTCAGAGTATTATCTATAAATACCAGGACTGTAGTTAACAACATTAATTCCTTTAATTTTGTACTTATATGAGATGATGCGTGATCACTAAACTTGTTGTAAAAGTCTCATGATCTAGAAAGTCAGATCACTCTGCTATCTACCTTAAGCTTAACCAAGGCTGCCTGTCAATTATGTCTCAATAAAACTGGAAGAAACAATGGCAAACAAGAAGGTTGTTTCTTGATTCCAATATAATTAAGATTATTTCAGTCATTCTTCTCTTATTTTTTTCTAATTATTTTGAATTATAATCAAAGAATGTTTCTTGTGAGTTACTATTTTTAAAAACTTCTTAATATGCTTTCTTTATGGTTCAGTACAGAATTGTCCAGTAGGAATCTAATGTAAGTCATATATGTAATTGAAGGCTTTTTAGTATGTATATTAAAAAACTAAAAAGAGTATTGCAGCTAATTTTAATAATATATTTTATTGAATCAAATATATTAAAATAATATCCTTTAAACATATAGTCAATATAAAATTGTTTACCAGGCGCCTATGGGATTTTCCTGGCAAGAATACTGGAGTGGGTTGCCTTGCCCTCCGCCAGGGGGTGGTTTTCCAGACCCAGAGATCTAATACGCATCTCCTGCATTGCAGGCAGATTCTTTATTGCTCCCCCTCCTCCCATTCCCTGCCTCTGGTAGCCACAAAGCTGATTTATATTTCTATGAGTTTGCTTCTTAGTTTTCGAAGCTGATTGACCTTCGGCACTATGTTTGTTCCTATTATATAACATGGTGATTCAGTCCTTCTATACACTTCAAAATAATCACCACGATAAATCCAGCTATGATATTCATCACAGAAATGTATGATGTAACAATTGACTATACTTCTCACACTCTTATTTCTTACCTATGACACTATTTTGCAGCTGGAAGCTTGGATGTTAATCCCCCTCACCCTTTACTCTCCTTTCGCCACTCTGATCCCCTGTCAATAGCCTGTTTGTTCTCTGTATCTGTGAGTCTGTTTGTTTTGTCATGCTGCTCATTTTCACTGCCTTTTATTTTCCACATGTCAGTGAAATCATACAGTATTTATCTTTATATGCCTTACTTTACACTAAGTGTAACCATGAGGTCCGTCCATGTTGTCCCAATGGCAAGGTTTCATCCTTTTTTATGGCTGAGTAATATTCAATAACGAATTATTGTAAATAATGCTACAATGAACCTAGGGGTGCGTATATCTTTTCTAATTAGCTTTTGTTTTCCTTGTGTAAATACTCAGGAGTAGAATTGCTGCATCATATGACAGTTCTACTGTTCTCCACTGTAGATGCACCAATTTACATTGCCTCCAACAGTGCACTAGAGTGCCCTTTTCTTTACATTCTTACCAACCTTTGTTTTTTTTAATTTTTTTCTCACCATCTTTTGCTATTTGCTTAATCACCATGTAAATGTAACAGTTCTTTGAAAAATGCCATTTGTATTTTGATTAGTATTTTATTGAATCTGTAGATTGTCTTAAGTAGTACAGTCGTTTTAACAATATTAACTATTCCAATCCATGAATATGGTACATCTCTCCATCTGTTTGTGTTGTCTTCAATTGCTTTTATCAGTGCCTTATAAATTTCTCAGTATAGGTCTTTTATCTTCTTATATTTATTCCTAGTTATTTTATTATTTTGATGTTACTGGAAGTAGAATTGTTTCCTTAATTTCTCTTTCTGATAGTTCATTGTCAGTATATAGAAATGCAACAGACTTCTGTTAATAATTTTATATCCTGCAGCTTTACCAAATTCATTAATGAGTTCTAATAGTTCTTTTGGTGGCCTCTTTAGGGTTTTCTATGCATAGTGTCATGTCATCTGAAAATAGTGACAGTTTTACTTCTTCCTTTCTAATTTGAATTTTTTTCTATGTGTGTTATAGATGTTTGGTTGGTGGTTACCATGTGGTTTCTTGATAACAATCTCTCTATATATGTGATTATTTTAAATTGCTAATGTTTTAAGTTCAAAAGCATTTTAACAACTCTATTTTCAAACTCCACATTTACTATTTTTGACGTATTTCACATCTTTTTGTTTTGTGTATCCCTTAGCTACTCATTGTGGATGATTTTACTACTTTTGTCTTTTTTTTTTTTTTTGTGTAATAAAGTTTTATTAAAGTATAAAGGAGATAGGGAAAGCTTCTGACATAGGCATCAGAAGGGGGCAAAAGAATAACCCCTTTTGCTAGTGTTAGCAATGGAGTTATATAAAACCTATGATCCGATAGATTAGGTTAGTACTTTTAATTCCCAAGGAGTTATGAAATGGTCAAAGAGACCGAAAAGTTGACCGAGAAAGGAGAGTTCGGTCCACACGCTTTGCCCGTTTCTGGTCGGTTCCTGAAAAAGACATTGGTTGCCTCTTGGCATTGGCAGGTCGGTATAAACCCCCGACAGGTTTTTGCCATAAGCCTTATGAGGTCGCCGCGGAACCGCAGAGCAGGGCTCCTCATTTGCTTCGCGAGGGCGTTTCATTCATTCACACAAGCACACTGAAGAGTTAGTAAAGTACAGCAGAAAACATGTTTGCTAGGAGAACAAAGAACTAGAGCTCCAAGCATCCTTACCTTGTCTTGAAGGATCCCGGACGAGCCCCCAAAATGAAAGGTTGTTGCTGAACGATTAGACGCGGGATTCTTGGCCTCCGGAGGAGACGAATTCAATCCGGGGCCAGAGACGAGGCTGGATCGCTCAGAGCTTTTGTGTAATAAAGTTTTATTAAAGTATAAAGGAGATAGGGAAAGCTTCTGACATAGGCATCAGAAGGGGGCAAAAGAATACCCCACTTCTAGTCTTTAGCTGTCTGTTAATAAAGTTTTATTAAAGTATAAAGGAGATAGGGAAAGCTTCTGACATAGGCATCAGAAGGGGGCAAAAGAATAACCCCTACTACTTTTGTCTTTTAACCTTCCTGCTAGCCTTATATATGGTTGATGTACTACCTTTATTGTATATTTATCTTTACCAAAGAATTTTTTTTTGGTAATTTTCATATTTATAATTGTGGCCTTTACTTTTCCTCTTAGAGAACACTCTTTAAAAATTCTTGTAAAGCTGGTTTCATGGTGCTAGACTGTGAGTTTTGCTTGTCTGTAAAACTTTCTATCTCTCCTTTGAATCTGAATGAAAGCTTTGTCAAGTAGGGCACTTTTGGTTGTTTTTCAACACTTTAAATATATCATGCCATTCCCTTCCAGCCTGCAGAATTTCTGCTGCAAAGTCAGCTTAAAATCTGATGGGTTGGCTGTGGGGTCTGGAGTGTCACAAATCTTGTTTTGGCCTGCTGGTACGTGGAGCCAGGGCCCAGGGAGTCCTGAGGCTTGTGCCAGCCTGCTTGTGGGTGGGTTGAGTCTTAGGGTTGATGCTGGCCCACGTGTAGGTGGAGCTGGGTCCTGGAGTCTCTGATTGAATGGCCCAGGGGTCCATAATCTGGTGTCAACCTGCTAGAGGATAGGGTCAGGGTCCAGGTAGTCCAAAGGTTAGTGCTGGCTCATTGGTGGGTGGAGTTGTGACCCAGGGTCTCTGGCTGCAGGGCCTGGGGGGCCTGGATTTGGTGTTGTCCCACTGGAGGATGGGGCCTGGGCCCTAGGCATCCCTGGGCTAGTGCTGGCACACTAGTAGGAGTCCAGGTCCTGGGCCCTCTGGTGAATGGGTCCAGGTGCTGGATGGCTGAGAACTCAGGGGGTCTTAGGCAGCTGGCCTGTTAGCGAGTGGGCCTCTGTCCCCACTTGGCTAGCTGCTTGACCTGAAGCATCATAGTACTGGTGCCTACAAGCGAGGAGAGTGGGGCTGGGTCCTGGTGCTTAATAAGCTAGAGGGTTGATCCCAAAATAGCCCTTGCCAACAGTGTCATCATGACAGAATGGGGCTCCCCAAAGAGCTGCTGTCAGTGTCCACATGCCCAGGATGATCTCTGTTGCCTCCTGCCTCTCTGGGACGTTCTCCAAGACTAGCAGAATCCTGCTTCTGCTCTGGGCCCCAGAGTGTATGAGATTTTGTGTGCATCCTTGAAAAGTAAAGTCTCTATTTCCTACAGCCCTCTGGTTCTCCCAAAAGTGAGCCCCACTGACCTTCAAAGCCAGATATTCTGGAAGTTCTTCTTCCTGGTGCAGAACCCTGGTCTGGGATACCTGATATGGGGCTCAGACCCCTCACTCCAGGGTTCCTTCACTGGAACCCTCATAGTGCTGTTGGTGGGAGTGTAAAATGGTGCAGTCATTGTGGAAAACAGTATGTCAGCTCCTCAAAAAATTAAAAATAGAATTACCAGATGATCCAGCAACTCCACTTCTAGGTATATACCCAAAATAATTGAAAGCAGCATCTCGAAGAGATATTTGTATATCCATGTTCATAGCAGCATTATTCACAACAGCCAGAAGGTGAGAGCAACCCATGTCCATTGGCAGATGAACAGATAAGCAAAATGTGGTCTAGCTATACAATGGAATATTATTCAGCCATAAAAATGAAGGAAATTCTGACAACATATATGAAAACATGAATGAACCTAGAGGATATGATGCTAAGTGAAATAGGTCAGTATAAAAAAGACACATACTGTATGATTCCACTAATATGAGGAACCTAGAGTCGTCAAATTTATAGAGACAGAAAGTAAAATGGAGGTTTCTAGGGACTACAAAGTGGGGGAAACTGTGGAGATGTTATTAAGGGGTATACAGTTTCAACTTTTCAAGATGAACAGTTCTGGAGACTGGCTGCACAACAATATGACTGTAATTAACACTACCAAACTGTACACTTAAAAGTGGTTAAGATGGTAAATCTTATGTTGGGGTATTTTATCACGATTAAACATTTTTAAAAGGCAAACTTTATGAGGAAACAGTCAAACCTATGTGTGCCAATTTAGCAGCTATATGTTTAAAGTAAAAACTATTAAATATTTCAAATGTAAATTGAGCAAAATTCAGTTAAATGGGGAAATATTTTAAGACATCACTATCAGAATTAGGCATCTTGAGCTTTTTCATTAGAAAATTGAAAATATGCATTATTAGATGGTTTAATGGAACATTTACAAACATTGATCATATGTCATCTGATGAAGTAGCCACTAACTACACATGACTACTGGTCACTTAAAATGTGGATAGTTCAAATTGACATATGCTGTAAGTGTAAAATACATAGCATGATTTGAAGACTTAATGTGAAATATCTCATTAATTTTGTATTGAGGGAAGTGGCCAATATGTTGAAGGAAGAACTCGAATTCACACCCTCCCACACTGTGCTGTGCTTAGTCACTCAGTCATGTCCAATTCGTGACCCCATGGACTGTAGCCCGCCAGTCTCCTCTGTCCATGTGGATTCTCCAGGCAAGAATACTGGGGTGGGTTGCCATGCCTCCTCCAAGGGATCTTCCCAACCCAGGGATCAAACCCAGGTCTCCCGCATTGCAAGTGGATTCTTGACCATCTGAGCCACCAGGGAAGCCCAAGAATACTGGAGTGGGTAACCTATCCCTTCTCCAGGGGATCTTCCTGGCCCAAATTGAACCGGGGTCTCCTGTATTGCAGGTGGATTTTTTTTACCAGCTGAGCTACCAACCCAGGAATGGAACTGGGGTCTACTGCACTGCAGGCAAATTTTTTACCAGCTGAGATACCAGGGAACACCAGTATTACCATTTACAGAATACTGATGTGAAAGGCCTGAAAACTAGCAGAAAAGACAGTCTATAATTAAAGATATAAAGAAGGAACCACAATGAGATGTGTAGGAGAGATGAAGATACAGCATAATCAAGACTCATACCCTAGGTGGTAGACTCACAAATACGGTGATTATAATTTCAGATGAGAGAACAAGCTGCATTTTTAGTCTGTCCAGTTCAGATATCTTTTCACTCTCATGCCTTATGCAAACCTTTCTTTGGAGATGACCAATGGGTGGGGGTCGCACACTTTGTAATGGAATATCATAAAGCAACTATGCCCAAAAAGATTTCTTTGAGGGCATAAAATGTGCCGACAGAAAGCTACCTCTCAGATCTGTGTATGTTGCACCACTCAATCAATATTCCAAACTTTGCACTATTCAAAGCTTTCCAAAATTTCTGGCTTTTGTCAACCTGAGATAAGATATAGCGTGCACGTGGCAATGGGAAAATTGTGTGTAGCCTTACGGAAATGCTTTTTACATTTCCAGCTGCCATAGTTGTAGAACCAATCAAGAGCTAGCAATGAGATTTACATTGTTTTTGGTCATCACCACCATTCTTATTTTTTTTTTTTAAATTATTGCTTAAGTCAAGAGATCTGAATACTGTCCTGAGGCTGCTCATAGTCAATCGTGTAACTGTGAGGAATTCACTTATGTGTTTTGGCCTAGCCTTTGGAGGGAGAATGAGTGAGAGGGAGGAGGAGGAGAGCGCGCGAGAGAATGTGTGTGTGTGTGAGGTTGCTCAGCTGTATTAGACTCTGCAACCATTTGGACTACAGCCTGCCCATCCGTGTTCCCTGTTAGTAGTGACTTCATTCCTATGAAACCAACCTGAGTTCTGACCTCCAGATCTTTAAGAGAATAAGTACACATTGTTCCAAGTCACCAAACTTGTGGTAAATTGTTAGCGCAGGCATGAGAAACTAAATACATTACCTTTGTCAGGCTTACCTGTTTTTATAAAGCCTAGGCTTAACATTATATTTAAACAGTTAACTCTCCCTGTGTCACCAGCAATATGTGGAACTAAATGCTCTCTTTAAACCAAAAGTATTATTAATATATTCATATCTTACTACTTTGTGCTAATAAAAGGAAGTAAACTGATTTACCTTGTAAATGTTAACTTCAGAGCAAACTACACTAGGTTCACACTGCAAAGTGGAAAGGCCCAGGTTGAAGGTGCCCTGGTGAACATTTTGTCTCAGTAACACGAAATAAGCAGTGTCTGCCCTGGGGTTATGTTTAATAAATAGCAAAGTGCATACAGATATTTACAACAGTTTTAAAGAAAAACAAAGGTCCTATTCTGTGGCCCAACAGTAGCAACAAATAGGCGTTGGCACAAACTGTTCATAAATTCTTGAGTACAGTTGTTTTGCAAGTAGAGCTCGCCTGCAGTCTTCAAAAAAAAAAAAAAGAGAACACCCTGCTACTGCTCAAGCTGTGTTCTTAAGTTCAACGTGGACCAGGATCACTTGGGGTCACTGCTTAACAACTGCTCTTTGCCATTTATGATCAGGTACTTCAGCTCCCCGTCTTCTTCCACTTCGATTCTTTCTTGGCCATTCTCCACGATTCTCTTGGTGGTGATCATTTTGCCATTCAGGATTTCGGTGGAAGTCGACATGGATTTAAAGTTGCCCGTCCCCCTACTACCACAGGACATGGAGACGGAAGAGAGGCCCCCATTCCCAATGGAATCAAATGAGGTAAACCCCGTATCAAAAGGAGAAAAACCACCTCCAAATGCTGGAAATTCACTGAAGGCGGAGAAGAGTGACGTGGACCCCCTGCTTCGGCTTCCCCGGGATCTCCTCCGACCCCCCAAAAAGTTCTCCAGCGGGTCTCCGAAGAAGTCGAACGAAAACGGGTCCCGGCCGCCAAAGAACTCTCTGAAGACGTCGGCCGGGTCCCGGAAGGTGAAGACGCACTCAAAGGGGTCCTCGAATGGCCTACCGCCGCCGGCGCGGCCACAGCCGCCGCCCTCTATTCCCGCCTCGCCGTAGCGGTCGTAGACATCTCTTTTCTTGGCGTCGGACAACACTTCGTAGGCCTGGGCCACTTGTTTGAATCGCCTCTCCGCCTCCTCCTTGTTCTCGGGGTTTTTGTCCGGGTGCCACTTGAGCGCCAGTTTGCGGTACGCCTTCTTGATGGCTTCTGACGAGGCCTGGCGGGGCACGCCCAGCACCTCGTAGTAGTCTACCATCTTGGAAGGTCGGGAACGGCCCCGCGGGCCAAGGACAGGTGCTGGCTGGCAGCCCCCGGGGCGCGGGCCCGAGTGCCCACCAGGCCAGGCTGCCCGGAGTGGGCGCCCCTTGTGATGATGCCGCGTCTCATGGGGCGAACCCAGAACGCATTGCTCATACAGTGCTCTGTGACAGATTTCACGCAGCCGCAGAGGACCCGCCCACTCATTTGCTCCGCCCACCTGACCTCTGCCGAGCGGTTATCGCCAAACGGGGAGATGTGGCTCTGGCTGCCTTAGCGGATAGTTCTCACAGGCACCTCCCTGATGGTCCTGTGGTTATGACCACAGGGAGCACCGGTTCCATCTCTGGTCAGGAAATCAAGCTCTTGCATTAAGAAAGAAAGTCATTTTCTTAAAGTAGGCTTGACATCAGGCTTCCCCTTGGCTTGAGGTGGGGGCTGTTGTCCTGTTATTCAGTCGCTCAGTCGTGTCCAACTCATTGAGACTCCATGGACTGCAGCCAGGCTTTCCTGTCCTTCACCATCTCCCAGAGTTTGCTCAAACTCATGTCCATTGAGTGGGTGATGCCATCCAACCATCTCATCCTCTGTCCTCTCCTCCTTCTGCCTGCTGTCTTTCCCAGAATCAGGGTCTTTTCCAATGAGTTTGCATCAGGTGGCCAAAGTATTGAAGTTTCAGCTTCAGCATCAGTCCTTCCAATGAATATTCAGGACTGATTGCCTTTAGGATTGACTGATTGGATTTCCTTGCAGTTCAAGGGACTCTCAAGAGTCTTCTCCAACACCACAGTTCAAAAGCATCAATTCTTCGGCGCTCAGTTTTCTTTATAGTCCAGCTTTCACATCCATACATGACTACTGGAAAAACCATAGCTTTGACTAGATGGACCTTTGTTGGCAAAGTAATATCTCTGCTTTTTTAATATGCTGTCTCTGTTGGTCATAACTTTTCTTCCAAGAAGCAAGCATCTGTTCATTTCATGGCTGCAGTCACCATCTGCAGTGATTTTGAAGCCCAAGAAAATAGCCTGTCACTGTTTCCATTGTTTCCCCATCTATTTGCCTTGAGGTGATGGGACTGCTGCCTTGATCTTTGTTTTTTGACTGTTGAGTTCTAAGTTACCCTTTTTGCTCTCCTCTTTCACCTTCATCAAGAGGCTCTTTGGTCCTCTTCACTTCCTGTGATAAGGGTGGTGTCATCTGCATTTCTGAGGTTATTGATATTTCTAAGTTGGGGGTAGAGTAGAGTAACAGAAGTGAGTTTAGTCTGATCCTTGTCTGAGAAACACTCTTACCATTTGTCTAGGACAGCATTTCTCCAATTTTTTTTGCCTCAGGATCCTTTTGCTTTTGTTTATGTGGGTTATATCTATCAGTACTTGCTCCAGCAAAAATTAAAACAAAGTCAATTTAATAATGATAAACCCATTACATACTAATATGAATCATATATTTATGGAAAATAACTCTTTCAAAACAAATTTAATAAACAGTAGCATCATTTTCTTTTCTTTCTTTTTTTGTTACATCTCTCTGGCTTAACAGAACAGCTCGATTTTTATATCTGCTTCTGCATTCAATGTATTGTTATATCATGTATCATGTAGCCACTGGGGAACTCCAGTGTATTCAAAAGTCAAATATCATTATCTTAGAAATAATTTTAACTTTGCGAAATTCTTTGAAGATTTTTTGGGGATTCCCCCCCCAAAATCCTCATAGTTTGTTAACTCCTGACCCAATATATCAAGATGATGAAAACTGCTGGCCATGTTTAAGTGCTGCATGTAAACTTGGGATTCTGTGATTATTTCTGCTAAAACTGTTGTATCACCATGATTTTCTTTTTGACATCTGACTCTTTTCCACTCCCTCCTTTTTCTTTCTCTGACACTATATTCTTTGCCTTGATAAATGGTGAGGCAACACCAATAAAGTTCACTTAGTTCTAAGAGGAAATGATTAACCAATGAACTCACTATTTCATCATAAAAGATAATAGATCCAAAAGGGTTCACCTTTTCACTAGAACAAACTGCTGATTCCATATCACCTTGAGAAACTTAAGCCAGCTTGGCACTTGGGAAGCACGCAATAAACAATAGTAGAGATTGGTAATAGAGTCCAGTGTGAACAAAGCAATATGGAAAAGTATAAGGTTTGTTTGGGGTAGGTTAAGTGATTCAGAATGGCAGGAGGGAAAGAGGCAGAGAGAGCGGTTAAGCAGGAGGGCTAGAGAAGTGGAATGAGATGGAGTCCATTCCAGGGAGTTCTGAGGGCAAGGCTGAGGAGTCTGCATTTATTCTGGGCCCTAGGAATGTGTTGACCAAGGTTTCAGGGGTGGTAGTGGCATGGGACTGTGCCATGGATGGCCGATGCAGGGAATCAAAAGGGAAAGGTAGGGACTAAGAGCCTTGGAGGCGGAGGCCTAGAAACAAGACCATGGCAGCTGGGTCTGAGAACCAGTGGTAGAATGATCCAGATTTGGCACTTGTTGGGTTGGAAATAGGGCCTAGAACAAAGGAAGAAGGAGCATCACATCCATACAGAAACATTTACTGAGTCTTACTGTCTGCAAAGCCATGGATAGGTAGAGATAGAGGCAGAGAGGGAGTCTAGTAGGGAACTCAGATAGGCAAATTGCTGAAGGATACAAGACAGAATAGGGGCTTCTCTGGAGGCTCAATGGTTAAAAAAAAAGTCCACCTGTCAACACAGGAGACATGGGTTTGATCCTTGGGTTGGGAAGCTCCCCTGGAGAAAGAAATGTCAACCCACTCTGGCTTTCTTGCCTGAGAAATCTCATGGACAGAGGAGCCTGGCAGGCTACAGTCCACGGGGTAGCAAAAGAATTAGACATGACTGAACAAGTAAATGGCGACAGTGACAAGACAGAATAAAGCAAAATGCTATGGAGAGTCGAGGAAGATGACTTTGTTTCCCCTGGAGGGTCCCACAGATTATCCAGAGGGAGTGGACTTGTTTATGTAGCCCTTTTCAGTTTAGTAACAAGCAGCTCCGGTTTGATTCCATCAAAAGAGCTAGGAGTAGTTGGGAGGGTGAGTTTCGTCACTTCACTTCAGCGTGGCTTCAGCTTTAAAAGAAATCACCTTCCAGTGAGTCTGGGAACGCTCTTGCAGACACCCCACTCTTCAGTAGACCTCAGAGCAAGACTACATCACCACGCTGCTTGGTTTCCTTGGCCATCCATGTGTCGCAACCCAGGCACATCTCAGCCTGCCCTGTAATTGCCCTGTTGTTTGTCCGCCAGAGCCCTCTTGACAGGCACAGACCATGCCTAACTTGGATTTCAGGCCCTGGCTCCTCGCATCATGCCAGGAGGGCCAACACTTGCTATAAACCTCTGATGAGTGGGGGGATTCACAGTGGATTTTGAGTGTCAGATCTCCACAGGTTGCAGGGCAGAAGTTTTATTGGATTGCTTAGTCATGGTTCTTGGTCATAATTTTTGAGAGTGGGTGTGGACTGCCTGCTATTCATTTTGGCCAAGAACAATTCCTGGTCTTGGACAGAGTCACACTCTTAAACCGTTCAAGTGCACAGAGACCTCAAGAAGTTCTGAGGCTCTGCCTGATGTAGTAAAGTCATAAAATCATTAACATGGTGGACTGTGTTTTTACAGCCCTTTGCTTTGTGTAATCTACAGATGAACGCTCGTGACATTGAAACTTTAGAAGAATGACTGCCCTTACTGTTTAACTTGGACTATGAATTTCAGAATGACAGATAAGCGCACACCTATGAGCCAAACCCTTGCCACCTCTTTCCCTCTCACCTAGAATCTTGATCTTGGTGAACTCCTGAGCGCTCGGGGCAAGGGAGGGAGGACAGGGAGCTTAAGAGTGCAGAAGCGAGCACGCACGCTTCTGAATCACTGAATCGCTTTGTTCTACACCTGAAACACAATATTGTAAACCGAGTATAGTTCAATTGAAAAGATAAAAAAAGAATGTAATTCCAGTGGTGCTTAGGGACTTTCAGCCAGTTAAACTGTTGCCTGTGGCGAGACCTAGAAAGTCCTGCCCTCTTTATCTCAAAAAGTAAACGCCCAGCAGTCTGTAGCTGACTCACAGCTATGGTCACGTGACACAAGCAAACATTAACTTGGTGTATTGTTTGGTTCCTGCCTTGTGTGAGTGAGGCAGGAAACCGTCTTGGTAGCAAGAGCAGGGCAAGCATGACAGCAGGGTCCCCGGGGGAATGCCCAGTCGTCCTGCTCCTGCTGCTGTGTGCGCTCGGCGCCTCCGTGTCCCAGGGCGGGAAGCTGCTGGTGGTCCCGGTAGACGGCAGCCACTGGCTGAGTTTGGTCGGACCCCTCCAGCCACTGCGGCAGAGGGGACATGACATAGTGGTCCTGGCACCTGACGCCTCCGTGTACATCAAAGAGGAAGCATTCTACACTTTGAAGAGGTACCCTGTACCATTCCAAAGGGAGGACTTGGAAGAGACTTTTATCAGCATTGGGCGTACTGTTTTTGAGGATGATCCTTTCCTGAAGCGCGTGATCACAACATACCAGAAAGTCAAAAGGGACTCGGCTCTGCTCTTCTCTGCCTGCTCCCACTTACTGCACAACAAGGAGCTGATGGCCTCCCTGGCGGCAAGTAGCTTCGATGCCGTGTTGACAGACCCTTTCCTTCCCTGTGGCCCCATTGTGGCCCAGTACCTGTCTGTGCCTGCCGTGTTCTTCTTGAATGGACTGCCTTGCAGCCTGGACTTTCAGGGTACCCAGAGCCCCAGTCCACCATCCTATGTGCCCAGGTATCTGTCATCTAACTCAGATCACATGACCTTCCTGCAGCGGGTAAAAAACATGTTCATCATCTTGACAGAGAATTTGCTGTGCAATGTGGTTTATACCCCGTATGGGCTACTTGCCTCAGAAATCCTTCAGAAAGACGTGACTGTTCAGGATCTCTTGAGCTCTGGGTCTGTCTGGATTCTCAGAAGTGACTTTGTGTTTAATTTCCCAAGACCCATCATGCCCAACATAGTTTTTGTTGGTGGGATCAACTGCGCTCGCAAAAAGCCACTCTCTCAGGTGTGTATTTGAGTGGGAACTTTATATACCTGTGTTCTGGCAAGAACTTTGAGTGGATGAAATTATCATGGATCTGCTGAAACAGCCTCAAATGCCTTCTCTTGTTCATTTCTATTTCACCAGTCTCTTAGGAGTGTGTTGTGATTTATAACTCTTTGGCATCTTCTTCTAGGTTTTTTTTTCTTTTATCGGAGACTTTAGGAAAGTGTACTTTGGCCATATTATTCTGTGTGCTCCAGTGGATAGTAATCGATTAGATGTGACATGGGTTAAATGCCATAAACACAGGGCCTTGGGTCCAGGGTTCCTCGCAGAGAACAAAATTGTGCAGCGTGCACTTTGCCCATGGTCAGGTCAGGCTCACAAAAGTCAAGATTGCTGAAACAATTCTTTGGCATCTATAGATCTTGTGTGGCAGGGAAAATTGCCTTTATGTTCCCGGTTAAAAGTCCAGTTTCTAGATAATAGGAAGCTGAATACGGCAGTTCCATTTCCTATAATAAAGCAAATCACTAGACATCCAGGTTCTGATGTTGGATTCAAAGCTCATGCATCTCACTCTCTTAAATGCTTATTTATTAATGTTTTCACCTTCCGCAACTGGAAGTTTGCAGAAAAAAAAAAAATAGCATTGACATTCTCTTCCAAATCTTGACAGAGGGGGTAGAGAATAGCAGGAGAGTTTCCTTCTAATGGGGATTTGGGAAGGATTCTTCAAGTAGGTGACATTTCAGTGGGCGTTCCTTCATTTATTCTTTAAGTATTGGTTGGGGATCTGCTTGTAGCCCAACTACTTTCCAGATGCTAAGTCTGGCTCCTACCAGGGGCTACTATCACCCTCATAGAGTGATGAATCTTATTTCCAGTGAGCTTCTGACATGATTCATATTTTATATTATTTTTTAAAATAATAATTTTTTACTGTGCTGGGTCTTTGTTGCTGCCCGGGCTTTTCTATAGTTGTGGCGAGAGGGGCTTACTCTTCGTTGCGGTGCACAGGCTTCTCATGGCGGTGGCTTCTCTTGTTGAGGAGCGCGGGCTCTAGGGAGGCCTGGCTTCAGTAGCTGTAACTCCTGGGCTCTAGAGCACAGGCTCAGTACTTGTGGCACACGGGCTTAGTTGCTCCTCGGCCAGATCAGGGATTGAACCTGAGTCTCCTGCACCAGCAGGCAGATTCTCCATCACTGAGCCAGCAGAGCAGCCCTCATGTTTTAAATGATTATATAATTTTCATAGCCAGCGGAAACTTTGGGCAGCAGGAACAACACCAGGTGAGAAGTTGGGTGCTACCTGGACACCTCCATCCCACTGCTGTAAAACAGGGGCTCCTGAATGGGGCTCTGATTCCACCCCTGTAATGTGGGGAGAGATCTCATAAGCCCTCAAAGACCCCCTGGCAATAAGATTCTGAGACCACCACGGTTTGTTGGACATGTTTGTATCTAATGGGGTGGTCTGGTGAAGGAAGGTGTGTTGTTAATTTTCTGAAAGCAAGATGAAAAAATCCAGAAGTGTAGAAATCCGTTAATGGTTCTTTTTCAGATAGAGAAAAAGAAAGGGGTGAAATGTCATTAAACCAACGGGCATATCTCAGATCAAAGGAAAGAAAATTAGCCAGCAGTTTCAAGCAAGATATTTTTGCATGTTTGCTGTTGCATTTTTGGTAAACAGCTTTTATTTATTTAAGTGATTTCTTTCTTTATTTAGGATGTTTCATGGGAGAGGCTGCAGAACTTTATCAACTGTCTTTCTTAATATCACGTCTTTATATCATTTATTGACATATTTTCCCCTTAGGTGGTAAATTGTATTGAATGTATGTTGGTTGCTGCCTTGTTTGGTGCAAGTGAGCTTAGATGTGAGAATATTTCTGTAAATTGTACCTGATAGTAGTTCCTATTGTCTTACTGAAATGCATTTACTTTGAAATTCCATTTTTAGATACTAATATCGCCATTCCTGCACTATTTTTGCTTACATTTTTCTAGTGCCTCCTTAGTACTCCAGGTCTTCAACCTTCTTCCTTTTCTTTAAACAACATGAAGCAGGGACTTCCCTGGCAGTCCAGTGGTCAAGATTCTGTGCTACCAATGAAGCGGGCATGAGTTTGATTCTTGGTCAGGGAACTAAGACCCCACATACCATGCTGCCGAAAGATAAACACAACAAAATAAAACCAAAAAATCTACAGAGCCAATATTCTTAACCTAGTCAGGCAGATTCCTTTAATAGTTGAATTTTGCCTGTTTGCACTTAACAATCAATACATATGATTATAACTCTTGCAGTTTATTTTTACTTTGCTTTGCCATCCCTCTTTTTTCTTGATTTATGCTGGTCTGTCACAGTGCTGTTATCTTTTTTTCCCTTTGGTTAATTAGAGAGTGCTGCTCTGCACTTCCTTCCCTCTACTGGGGATCATACTATTCCCAAAGCTCTTGGTAAAAGTCCTGAACTTTTCAAGTATAAACATGAAATCTTTGTTAATGAGAGTCCCTAAAGAAAGCACAGCTTGGTGTTGGGCATGCCTTTGGGATGCCATCAAAGAATAAAGATGGTAGAACAATGCTGAGAGCAAAGGCATGACACTCAAGAATTCCAAGATGTCAGTCCCCTCTCAGGCTGAGAACATCTCTGAGAATACACAGAGATCCAGAGATGGTGTCCACACATCCACACTGGTTGTAAGGAAAACAGAGGATCAGTAAGAACAGACTTGAAGATGACGAAGAGGAGAAGAAAGAGTGGTGACAAGGAAGCTTGCAGTGTTCCTAAGTGGCTCTGAATGTATAATGATAAAGCAATACATTTCCAACATACTGTTTCATGAGTCTCCTTGCAAAATGAAAGGCATTTGGGAAGGAGAAATCCAGTAAAAGCCTGGAACTCAAAATACTAAACTCACAGCCAAAGTCAGGACTTCTAGTAAAAGCCTCCTGGGTTTCAAAGTCAGTACACTTGACAAACAGGAGATTAACAGGGCCCAGGATTCCTTATAACACTACAACTGGTTTTGAACCTAGAAGGGTCAACAATAGTACACTAAATGTCACGGTTCTCAGTCACCCAAGACACGGCGATGATGGAGGCAGGGATCTGTGTCCAGTAGTAATGGCACTTGGCACCCAGCTTCTTTACCTCGCAGACACCAGGTCTCAGGGCCCGGGCCCACAGTGCGCAGACAGGAGCAGTAGGAGGTGGGATGTTCGTCACCTGTGCAGTCTTACCTTTTCTTGTTGGCAAGCCACAGGTTTGTTATGCAAAAGGCTGATTAATGAACTTTAAGAAAAAGGTTCTTTTTTCAATAAATGGTTTATTTTAGGGGGAAAAAAAGCCTCCTGAGCATGTAGGCATGTGTTTTCCCTTGGAGGGGGGCCTCATTTGTTCTGGAATGGGATAAAAGGTCGGGGATCGAGGTTTATTGCTGTCAACATGCTGCTTCACACTTTGGCCATTCCAGAGAGTGTGGAGTCAGGGCAAGGTTTTGCTGTTGTTGCTGTTGTTGTTTAGTCGCTAAGTTGTGTCTGACTTTGCGACCCCATGGACTGTAGCCCACCAGGCTCCTCTGTCCTTGGGATTTCCCTGGCAAGAATACTGGAGTGGGTTGCCATTTCCTTCTCCAAGGGATCTTCCCGACCCAGGGATTGAACCTGCATCTCCTGCATTGGCAAGCTGATTCTTTACTCTGAGCCAGCATGGAAGACAGGGCAAGGTTTAGGGGGAGTTTTGCCAAGTAGGGGGTGGACCTCACCATCACTGAATCCTGTACTGGCCCAGAATCAACACTGGCCTTGAAAACATAACCTCTGCAGTTTGTCATTCTGTAATTTGTAGATGAACTTTCATGCCATTTAAACTTCAGCCAAGTGCTACTATTTAGCTTTCGGTGTTTATGGCTCTATGTGTTCCTTTTATGGGTGCAGCAGGGACATTAGACTTGGTCCTTTCTAGACAAAGTTAAAGTCCTAAGAGTGGGCTTCGTGAAGGAGAAGAGGTCTAGGAAATGGAGGGAATTCAGCGTGGGGGTAGGGAGGATGACACTGCCTCCCTGACCTTTTGGATAAGCCCGATAGGAAAGGCCAAGACAGCTGCTGGGAGCCAGGGGCCTCAAAGAGGGCCTGAGACCGGTGAGGGCAGACTAGACAGTGGGATGGCCTGGGAGTGGGGCTGGCCAGTATTTGGGCTTTATGGCCATGTTCTGAATCAAGGTTGGCAGCCGTCTCTGAAAATCAGGTATGCTGGGCCCTGTCTGAAGTCTCCTAGGTCAGAGCCAGGGTAGCCAGCATTCTGGTTTGTTCAAGGCTGTTCTGGTTTTAGGGTTTCCCAGGTGGCGCTAGTGGTAAAGAATCCACCCACCAACGCAGGAGATGTGAGAGATATAGGTTCGATCCTGGGTTGGAAGATCCCTTGGAGGAGGGCATGGCAACCCGCTCTAGTGTTCTTCCATGGAGAATCCCGTGGACAGGGCAGCCTGGAGGGTTATAGTCCTTGGGGTTGCAAGGAGTCAGACACAACTGAAGTGACTTAGCGCTCACACATGTTCTGGTTTTAATACAGAGAGTCCTAAGAAACCGCTCCATTCACAGTCTCACTAATGGCTGTGGCATTCTTTGGAGACATATGAAACCAGCTGGAGACTCTCAGGGAGTGAATTAGATCATTAATAACCAACAGTTCAGGGAAAATTTCTCTACTTGTGCCTTGCTCTGTTTCCTCCAAGTAGATTCCCACTGCACGTGTGTGCACGCACAGGTAGTGTGTGTGTTTCTTGAAGCCTGGAGCACTCTGGCATTGGCTCTGAAGTTTGGGAACAGATCACACCATGCTAAGATTATTGCCCAAGGCTGAATCTAGGGGTTTCCTTCCTTTCTTCCTGAGATACACCCACCATTCATCTCCAACTTCTAGTTTCAACACTGTGACTAATACTGCTATTCTTCTGATTGCATTATTCCTGTTTCATCTTGCTGAAGCAGTTTGGTGTCATTTCAGGGGGACTCCAAAGAGTTCTGGTACCATAGTTCTTTATGTGTCAGTGTAGAGAAGAATTCAGTGAGAGGCAGAGTGATAGATAAGAAGTGATTTATTAGGGTAGTATGCTTGTGAGTGAAAGGTTGTTGCTGAACCATGAAAAGATGCTGGAATTCTTGGCCTCTGGAGGAGAAGAATTCAATCCGGGGCCAGAGACGAGGCTTGATTGCTCAGTGCTTTTGTGTAATAAAGTTTTATTAAAGTACAAAGGAGATAGAGAAAGCTTCTGACATAGACATCAGAAGGGGGCAGAAAGTGTGCCCCCTCGCTAGTGTTTGCAGTGGAGTTATATACTCTCCAATGAATCCAAAGAATGCCTGGGGGTTGTAAAGACCTTACCAGACCTATTCCCATAATTTACATTTTAAGATAACAGAATTAGCCAGAAGGTTTCATCCAGAGACTGTCCTCAGGCAGGATACATTATTGTTATATAATCCTAAGGACTGTAGAGGAAAAAAAATGTTTGTCCTTTCTTCCTCCTTGAGAATTCCAGACCCCTCTCTCCTTGCGGACCCTTAGACTTCTTATCAACCTGCCTAGGAAATGACTCTCTCATGAGGCTTACATGGGACTTTCCAGTGATTAAAAAAAAAAAAAAAAAACTACCTACAATGCAGAAGACACAGGAGACACTGCAGGTTCGATCCCTTGGAGGGTCAGGAAGATCCCTTGGAGGAGGGCATGGCAACCCACTCCAGTATTCTTGCCAGGAGAATCCCTGGACAGAGGAACCTGGCAGGCTACAGACCACAGGGTTGCACAGAGTTGGACACAACTGAAGTGACTGAGCACACACACTTGAGGCTTACAAGAGGGTGGGTGAGAAATGCCACACCTGAGAACTTAGTATGCTACAGTTTTATGATGAAAGGAAAAGCAGGGAGGGGGAGAAGACCTTTGTCTTTCTTGAGTAGACATGAGTCATGCTTCCTTCATTCGCTCCTCCTCTAGGGGAGTTTTCTTGTCTCTATATGGTCAAGCTAGGTTCATGATTATGTGTGCAGACAGGAAGTCCTAGGAATCACTAACTTATTGTACTCACTGGGCAGGGTGTGGGTCTCATGCTACCATTGTTTTACTGTTTTGGGGCACGCACCATGCTTCTGCTGCCTGGTTTTGTTGTTAAGCAAGCCTGCTTGGTTTTGTGGTTAAGGAAACCTGCTTTCTCAAGTAATCATGAACCTACAGGGGTCTCCTATATTTTTCTTCTTATAATCTCCTAGTGGGATTAACTACATAATCATTTATTTTGTCCCTTCATGCTACCCCTATCATTTTCAAAGCTTTTATTTGACATTGATCTATAAGTCTATCCCTTATTCCTTAAGAGACAGGCCTTTGCCAGGTCATAACCTGGAACCTGTACTTACTAGCTAGGTTCCCTGCGATCTCTGATTCTCACCCTACACACACAGACATTTTCTAATATCCATCTTCCTGCTTCATTCAAGGGAACCACAGATTACTCGGAGTCTAGTAAGATTCATTGTTAACTGGCAAATCAGTCATAGTTGATAGCTCAAATACACCAAAACTCACTTGATGGATTCAGTCCTTGGTCAGGGAACTAAGATCCCACAAGCTGCATGGCACACCTCCCCCCCACCCCAATTACTCCTTGATTTTAAAAGTCATCATAATGGCAATAGGATGCTGTTAGTAAAGGGAAGGACTTAGAATGAATTCAGCCCCTAGTTTTTGAATGATCCTGTCTCACATGCATAGGAGAACAAGCTGGTATAATCCACACAGGGTCGGCATGCCACCCTTTCTCTGCTCTCCATTCCTTATTCCTTGGGTCATCTGGCCCTGAAGTTTCTTCCGAAAGTCTCGTTGCCTTGTCTTGATCTTTGTCCTTAAGTAGCCAAGGCTGTATGCCTGCAGGTGACCTTTGCTAGATGCTTCCTGAGACAATGGAGCAGCCTTACACGTGCAGGCTTCCTTGGATGACCGTGAGGGACATAGTGAATTAAGGAATCCACTTCTGGAACAGGAAGTGGGCACTAGGTGAGGGTCGTATGCTGCATGGGTGAAAATTGCACCTGTTTTGCCTTCCTACCAAGAGGCTTTGGTGGTCAGGGTTTACTCACATGCCCTTAACCTTATCTGAACCCCACAGAAGGGGCTCAGCTCACTGGGACACACCTGGCAAGGGTTTCTGTCCCCTATTTTGTGTTTTTCATACCTAGGGAGGAACAGTTTACCTTTTACAGTACATATGGAATCAGCAGAAAAAGATTCACATATGTTTCTGTATATTCTTTCTGCTAAAGCAGGCAAGTTGACTTAAATACCTTAGAAACTCTTCTCTAGGAAAGGTTGGGAAAATGCATGGTTGACTGGTTACATTTCAGCACGGAGTTGACATGGATATGAGCTTTACTCATTCAAGTGTATTGACTGCCATAGGGAAGCTCTGCTGCAGGCTGCAGGGAAGCAAGAGTTGTGCAAGGATTTTTTGCTATTTGAGGTTTTTCCTTAATCGTGAGTCTAATTCTTAATGCCCTCTGTAGCTTTGTGCTTTGACTCCATTCATTCTTTCAGCTTAAAAAGAATATTCTAAAAGTCTTGAAAAGTAATACGGGTCTTTACATAGATTTTCTTAGAGAGGCAGCGCCGGAGTTTTCGAGCCCACAGAAAGTTTGCTGAAATTCTCTTTGGACAGTGTTCCTCTCCTCCCATGTTTCCTTTCATGGAATCTGCTGAAACCTCGCTCCTCTCTGCAGAAGGCTCCTTCCCCTTTCCTCCCTTCTTCCTATTGCCTTCGGCTCACTCCTTCAGCCCTCCTCCCCAAAGCCTGCTTTCTTCCAAATTTTCCCAGCTGCGTGAAGCCCTGGGGAAAAGGATCTGGCTTTACCTCTGATCACTTTTCTCTCAGAAACTTGACACATGACTTGGAATCTACATTTCAGAGGAGAACCCAGGTGGTAACTCTGTAAGCAGGAAGCCTTCCTCCTTTGGGATGGAAAGGACTTGGTGAGGGAGGGATGTCACAACACACATTAATACTTTGTGTCTGTATCACACACACACACACACACACACACACACACACACAATACACACCCCTGTAATCACTTTCTAAAGAGGAAGATAGCTTATTCAGAGCTGAATGCATACAGTCACCAAAGAATATGAGAAAAAATTAACTGGAAATTTCTCTTCTGCTTCTAGGAATTTGAAGCCTATGTCAATGCTTCTGGAGAACATGGAATTGTGGTTTTCTCTTTGGGCTCAATGGTCTCAGAGATTCCGGAGCAGAAAGCTATGGAAATTGCTGATGCTTTGGGCAAAATACCTCAGACAGTAAGACGATTCTATATGATTTTTTAAAATCTATCTTCACAAGAGTTCTAATCCAAGACTTCCAATAACTAAATTAATTTATGAGTTGGGTTTTAAACTTGAATTTCCCTGCCACTTCCCAATTATTATTAATAATCCAAAGGATATTTTTTTTTGCCATTTCACTCTCAACTACGCTGTTAAACCATGATCCACTGCATGAGGAGGTCTCTTTCTCACTCAACTGGCTTAAAACTATATTAAAGAGAATTTATTTTTTAAAATAAAATGAGCAGGATAGTGTTTCTTCATATTGCATAAGAATATTTCTCCAGAAAGCAGTTGGTTAGGACACTGAATCCATTTCTCATATTTCTGCTTTTGTAGTTCCACGCCTACTCATTCTGTTAAGTAATTTCCCTTAAAGTGCAGAAAAGTGCAAAAATCATAGTTACACAACTTGCTGAATTTTCACAGATTCACAAAGTGAACACACCCATGGAATCAAGCCTATGGAATGAGACACAGAATGTTACCTGTCCCCAAAAGCCTTCTTAATCATTATACCTCCCACCTTTTCCAACGTTATATTCATTCAGAGACTCCAATTTCTAGCTACTATAGCTGATATCTTGTTTTAAAATTGTATGTGTACATACAAGTTGTATATGTATGTTCTTAAACTCTTTTTTTTTTTTTTTTGCTTCTGCAAGGTCTTGTGGCGGTACACAGGAACTCCACCACGGAATCTTGCGAAGAATACAAAACTTGTTAAGTGGCTGCCCCAAAATGATCTGCTTGGTACGTGGGGAGGATTTAGCATGTAGGGTCTACCCAAGGTTAAATAAAAAAGTGGTTCAGGCAGGGCTATTCTAAAGGATTGTTTAGCCAGAAAGGATTATTGTCAACTATCCCCACATTACCTTTTACCCAGTAGGATATCTCAACCCATATTCACTTCTGCACATTTCTGCAGGGGTCAAGTGTGGATGGCACTGGGCCCTGAGTGTGCTTTGAGAACCCAGGCGATGTCAGATGGTGAACTCGGTAGCTTGACTGGTGGCTCACTCCTGCTTTTCTCCTCAGGTCACCCAAAGACTCGGGCCTTTATCACACATTCCGGCTCCCATGGCATTTATGAAGGAATATGCAATGGCGTTCCCATGGTGATGATGCCCTTGTTTGGTGATCAGATGGACAATGCAAAGCGCATGGAGACCCGGGGAGCTGGAGTGACCTTGAATGTCCTGGAAATGAGTTCAAAAGATTTAGAAAATGCCCTGAAAGCTGTCATCAATGAAAAAAGGTAAGAGTAAAACTACCCAGGAATACTTAACCGTTCAGATGGCAAAACAAATACACCAAGATCTAGTTTATAAGTAAGATGACTTGGGGTTATTACCACTCATTTTATACAAAGGTGCTTTAATTCCTATGGAATTTATCATAAAAAAGATTTTAAATATTATTTCCCCTGGTATACTTAAAATTTCAATTTATTTAAAAACAAATGTCAATATAATAGATGTCTGATCTATAAGTTCCTTCTAAGAGAGAAATACTCCATTAGAAAAAGCATAGTGTCCAAGATAAAAACAAATCAGGTGCTTAAAGGTATGGCTTTTCCCAGCACTGAAGCCTGTGAGAAATTTTGTCCTTGGGGGTTTAAAAATCTGTGTATGTGTATGTGTGTGTGTGTGAGAGAGAGATGTGCTATGACAGACAAAGGCTTGTGATAAAAGCAAAGTCAAGTTTGTTCAAATGTGGCTCTGAAAACAAATCAATAGGCAAAAGCCATCAGATCAAATTATCTCTGCATGAACTTTATTGTATTGCTGTCAATTGCTACAAGTAATAGGCTGATCAAAACCTTATAGGAAGAAGTTATGGCCAGGAGTGGACTTCATCCAACAGTCAGTTATGTATGTGCACATACGTGCATATGTGTGTATGTGTATGTATCTACGAGAGTATCAGGAACCTTTACCCATAGTTTCTTCATTTTGAAGAAGACGTCGGTCAGGAAGACAGATATAAAAAGACTGGAATGTGTTCACATAGGAAGAGACACTACACAGGGGAATAACCAAGCCTAGACAAGGGAAAATGGGCAAGAAATGATGGTGCTCACGTGTGTGTGATGCTTCTGATTAAAAAAAAATTGTCTACATAACCCCAGGGTAAAGTGCCCGCAGTGTTACTAACAACCTTCGCAGAGCAGTTGATGTGGTTCTTATCCATCATTTCAATTGGCTTCTGGCAGCCCAACTTGTCAGCCTTAGGTCATGCTGCTCACACATCACTACAGTTAAAGCCTGATTTCTTTCCATATGCTGGAAACTCATTCTTGAGCTTCGTATTAGTGACGTAACTTTGACCTTTTGTTCAGTGGTATGGACAACTACTTGTAATCTAAAAGTGACTTGGTAGAAGTTCTCTGGTACATTACTATTAAAAAAAAAACAGACAAACACTCATCAGTCAGTTCAAGTTACTAACTTTATTCCTTTCTGACCCATCTCACGTGAATCTCCTTGTTCCCAAAACTCTAAACTGGGACTGCATCTACATAAAGAGAAGTGGAAAAATTTCCAACATAGGGTTATAAAACCAGGCCATAACAGGTGCTTAATAAATACTGAATTAATGAGTGAAAGTCCAAGAAAATCTATTTTGCATGAGACAATTTATATAAAAGGAAAATGTTTGACAGAATTTATGGCCAAATATTAATGGTACATTATAATAATGTATCCACATAAAATTATGGACATGTTTAAGGACTGATATGACCATAATCACTCCTGGATAAGTGTCTTGCTTTTATGTTTCTTCCCTCTTTTCTTTCCCTTGCCACTTCCTCCTTCTCCTTCTCTTCCTTTTCTTTCTCTTTCTTTTTCTAGTTCACCCATACTAAGGGGTGAAGTATCAAACCCATTTTGGATTTGGATATTGACTCAGCTGTTCACACAGTCCAAAATAAACAGGAACCCATTTCTTCCTTAACAGCCTGCATAGACACTCCCTCATGCAAAATTTAGCACTTAGATGGTCTGATGCCTCAGTAGTTGAAAGTCTATCACTGTCTTGGACACAGCACTTTACACAGTCTTTTACATTGGCTAGAAGTGATTATTTGCAATCTCATTGAATGGGAAATCATTAACAATTTCTGAGATGACCTGTTCCTTTACTTTGTCATCTTGTTATAAAAAAGTAAGACTAATTTCCTATAAGGATATCACTAAAAAGAGAAGAAGATGAGTAGGAAGCAAGTTTCAAATAACTTAAAATTTTGGCTTCCAGTTTTAAGAGATAAAGAATATTTAGTGTGTGTGTTTCTGATTACAACAGGAACTCTACCACGTTTGGAAAATCTGGTAGCGTTCCTAACTGGAAGCAAGGATACAGGGAGAATGGTTCACTACTGCTGGTGTTCCAGGCATTCACATAAGTGTCTTTGTGTTCAGCTATAAGGAAAACATCATGCGCCTGTCCAGACTTCACAAGGACCGTCCCATAGAGCCTCTGGACCTGGCTGTGTTCTGGGTGGAGTTTGTGATGAGGCACAAGGGGGCGCCCCACCTGCGCCCTGCAGCCCATGACCTCACCTGGTACCAGTACCACTCTCTGGATGTGATTGGCTTCCTCCTGGCGATCGCACTGACAGTCATCTTCATCACCTTTAAGGCCTGTGCCTTCGCCTTCCGGAAGTGCTTTGGGAAGAAGGAGCAAGCGAAGAAATCTCATAAATCCAAGACACACTGAGAACTGAGTTGGAAACTCTAGAGAAAGGTTAAATTCATGTTATGCTTACTCAGGAACTGCTTTGCCAGAAAATGACGCCCCAGAGTGCGTTTTGAAAAATAAAAGTGATCCAATCCCTAGTCACAAACACAGGTAGAGAGATTTGAGTCTCTTTGCTGCTCCCTCCAGTACTTTAACCTGGACTTCACTTGTCATCTTTCAGATGACTTAAGAGAACTGGTAGGTCCTTCCTTCAACCTGATACTTTTCCTACTCAGAAATGGGACCTGTTTGGGAGCCGCGTCTTCCTTCCCCTGCCCCCAGGAATGCATCCAGCATCTGTAGACACATTCCCTCACCAATAACGGCTGGTTCTAAATTATGCTTATGCTTCAGAGATGTCCCTGTGCATCTAAATAAGGAGATGTCTCTTCCTTGTCCTTAATGTGCTATGAATGAATGGTATAGAGTTCTTCTAAGACAGTGTATGATTTCTGACTTTAGTGGGGAAAGAATGATGTATAAAATTGGTGGGTGATGTGCCTGAGTAGATGATCATTGCTTCTGCCAAACAGATCTGAATTTGAAAGATGCCTAAATTATAGTGACTGGAAAGTATATTTTTTCTGATGTGATAACTAAAAATGCATTAATAAATTTATGTTAATTATATTTGTTAGGTGTTCTCTTCATGGGTGTTGCATTTATTTATTATTAAACTACATGTTCTAACTACAAAAGTAATACATGATTCTGACAGAAAATTTGAAAAAGGTGTACACATACACGTGCAAAGAAATTAAAGTCACCATTACTCATGTTCCCTGCAAATAACCACACTTATTATTTTGGCAAATATGTGGAGTTATAAAATATTGCAAATATACCACATTTGGTATATTGGTAAGGTGAAGGAAGAATTTAGAAAACACATTCTTCTTTCACTTTACCCTATTGTGAATGAATGCTCTTTCCAGGTCTTTATATAATATTTAATTTGTTTTAAGTGGCCAAGGAAAATTCTATTGCATGAATATACCAGGATTTATATAACCACAACTTCCAGATGTATTCACTTTTATTTTCCTTTATAAAAAAGACATCACTAAATATTCCAGTAGCTAAGTCTTTGTACATACACACCCATGACTGTTTCCATGGGAAAGGCCCTTCCAATAAATCAATGGTTGTTTGTTTTGGCTCCATTCATGTGAGGATTCGCAGGCAAGCAGTTTATTTGCAAAGGGAAGGAAACCCTGAAGAGGAGTGGGGAGTAGGGTGGGGAGTGATGACCACCAAGAAAGCAGCTCTCTGTGGGCAGCTGGAGCTGAATTCTGCGGCTTGCCGCTGGCAGCCAAGGCGGATTTATCCTGTTGGAGGCACAAGGCCTGTGGGGGTCCCAGCACTTGTCCCTGCTGGTGACTGGCTGCTCCCAGGTGGGAGCAGGAAAGAGGGCTTTAAAATCCAGAGGGAGCCCACGGGAGAGAAATGCAGATGCCGTGTGGGAGATCAGGCCCTGTGCACTAAGATATAAGAACACAGGGATCTGGGTGGGGCATGGTTTGAGATAGTCCCAAACTGTGTCCAGAGAGGTTCAGTCGGTGTTGAGAGAGCCAGGATCTCACCTTCTTCAGTCTAAAGTATAATCTTGAAAAAAAGACAGTATCAGTTTGATAGGTAAAAGTGGGATTTTGTTTTAAATTTGCTTTTATTATTATTATGGAGACAGGCTGGGACCTGGGACTGTTGCTGCAGTGTAGCAATGCTTGCATTTGGACACACTTCTTCTCTGAGCAAGGAAATACAAAGAAATTGTATGGAACTAAAAATAACTGCCTGTATGCAGCAGTCGTGGCCCCAAAATATGCAAAAAAAAAAAAAAAAAACCACTCTAACTGCCACTTTTGAAGAGCTTGGAGCAAAATCAGGGAAAGTGAAGTGAAAGTGTTAGTTGCTCAGTCATGTCAGAGCCAGGCTCCTCTGTCTTTGGAATTCTCGGAACAAGAATACTGGAATGGGTAGCCAGCCATTCCCTTCTCCGTGGGATCTTCCCAACCCAGGGATCGAACCTGAGTCTCCTGCATTGCAGGCAGATTCTTTACCATCTGAGCCGCCACGGAAAGCAGGGTTTTGGGAGTAAAAGTAGGTACTGCGAATGCCCCCTGCACACAGCTCTACCTAAGGGGTAGGCAGGACACCCCTACCCTTGCCCCATATAAGGGGTAAGCTATCCCCGCAGCTGAGAGCCAGCAAGGGAAACTTGTCTGTTTTCACTCCCCGCCCTGCTGCAGCAGGGGCCCCAGAAAAGCCTTGCTTGAGTTTCTTGTCTGGCCTCTAGTCAATTTCTCTTGATTGGGGAAGGCAAAACCCTAGTCAGTAACATTATAATTAAAGGCTATTTTTTTTCCCAAGCCTATGAGCCATTTGTATTTCTCTTTTTGGAGAATATCTTCTGTCTGTTCTGTGGTATTTATTACCCTTGGACTGCAAGGAGATCCAACCAGTCCATCCTAAAGGAGATCAGTCCTGAATATTCATTGGAAGGACTGATGCTGAAGTTGAAACTCCAATACTTAGCTTGCTTAAATTCGTGTCATTAGAGTTGGTGATGCTATCCAACCATCTCATTCTCTGTTATTCCCATCTCCTCCCACCTTCCATCTTTCCCAGCATCAGGGTCTTTTCAAATGAGTCAGTTCTTCACATCAGGTGGCCAAAATATTGGAGCTTCCACTTTAGCATCAGTCCTTCCAATGAATATTTAGGACTGATTTCCTTTAGGACTGACTGGTTGGATCTCCTTGCAGTCCACGGGACTCTCCACTTAATGTTCTCTGCTTAATATTATATATTTTTTGAGGAAAAGGGCCAAATCTTCATGAGCTGTGAGCCCAGCCTCCATGCACCAGGCTGTGTTGACTGTTTTTACACCCTCCTTCTTTAAGCACCACTTGAACCCTTTGATTAGATAGGTTCTGTTCAATGGGCGGTGCTAGTTCTTCTTTTTATCAGTGAGGCTGTCTCAGCAGATCCATGACAAGTTCATCCACTCAAAAGTTCTTGCTAGAATACAGGTATATAAAGTTCCCACTCAAATACACACCTGAGAGTGGCTTTTTGTTAGCGCGGTTGGTCCCACCAACAAAAACTATGTTGGGCATGATGGACCTCGGGAAATTAAACACAAAGTCACTTCTGAGAAGCCAGACAGACCCAGAGCTCATGAGATCCTGGACAGTCAGCATGGGAGTTCTTAGCTGTGGCACACGGGGTCTTAGTGCCCCCACCAGGGACTGAACTGGGTCCCCAGCATTGGGAGTATGGAGTCTTAGCCATTGGGCCACCAAAGAAATCCCCAAGGAAATGTGGTCTTCACTCCTGAATCCATACAGGCATGCATGGCTGGGCCAGGATTTGAAAGCCTGTGGTCTTCACCACCAGTTTGCACTGCCTGCTTGAGGAACTACTGTTATTATTTTTCCTTTATATTCCTTAGGGTATTTATAATGACTCAAATATTCATGTATATTCAATGGAGTAAATATATCTTCCCCTGAAAAAGGGAATGGCTACACACTCCAGGATTCTTGTCTGGACAATCCCATGGGCAAAGGAGCCTGGTGGGTTCCAAGGTTTCACCAAGTTGGACACGACTGAATGACTAACACAAGTAAATAACAGTTAAGCTTTGGGGGGCTGGCATTGGGAATTCTAGTGAAATTGTACTCAATTTTGTTTTTCCCCCTAGAGGAAAGAATGGCACATCTTTCAGAATGGAAGAGACAAATAATTTCATGTCAGAAGAACTCAAAGTTGAAAATCTATTGCCAAGTTATTTCGGAGTATTCCCTCTTTGCACTAACTGATTTTTGTGTATTTCTTAATTCTCAAGAACATGCTAGAACTTGCTTCACTTATCTGCCCTTCAAAGCAAATTTCAATGAAATTGGTTCCATTGACATAACTCTGGATTTTTTGAAATTATTTGAATGAAGTTGCTCAATTAAAATTTTTAACTTTATCCTTTATAGGCCTATTTTTCTCATATTTTTTTGTTAAATTTAGACATGACCAGAAATCCTCCTTTACATTTCCTATTTCCTTAAAGAAGTTGTTTCCTCTGAAACCTAGGTTTAAGCCCTAGAAAGAAAGTACAGCTGCTTAGTCTTTTAAATTCAGACCAGCAGGACTTGGCATCTCCATATTTGTTATTGTTACTCAGTCCCTAAGTCACGCCCAGCTCTTTGCAACCCAATAGACTGCAGCAGGCCAGCCTCCCCTGTCCTCCACTGTCTCCCAGTGAAAGTCGCTCAGTGGTGTCCAGCTCTTTGAGACCCCATGGACTATACAGTCCATGGAATTCTCCAGGCCAGAATACTGTCTCCCAGAGTTTGCTCATATTCATTCATATCCATTGAGTCAGTGATGCTATCTAACCATCTCATCCTCTGCCACCCTCTTCTCTTGCCTTCAATCTTTCTCCAGCATCAAGGTCTTTGCAAAGAGTCGGCTCTTTGCATCAGGTGGCCAAAGTAACGGAGCTTCAGCTTCAGCATCAGACCTTCCAATATTAGGAGGAGGTAAATTCAATCACGGTTCAACTCACCCATAAAAGTAATTACAAACAGCTTAATATTTTTAGATGAAAACATAAATAGTTCTGTGATGGCCCCAAAACACCTGCAGCCACTTAACACCTGTGACATCTCATGATTTTTATTGGAGCTATTTATAATAGAGTATCACAGTGACTTTTTTTTTAAAAACTTGTATACCCTTTAATTTTGTTTACTTTTTGGATACACATAGCATTAACAAAAATTTTAATAAATGCAAATATCCCTTTAAAAAATATTTATGTATTTATTTGGCTGCACCTGTTCTTAATTGCAGCATGCGAGATCTTCAGTCTTCATTGTGGTATGTAGGATCTAGTCCCCTGACCCCAGCCCCCTGCATCAGGAACACAGAGTCTTAGCTGCTGGACCACCAGGGATGTCCCAACATTTAAAATTTTTAATTCTTGTTTTGATCTTTTTCAGTTGTAAAGACAGTTTCTCATCTAGGTCATCATAAGATACAGACGGTTAAAATTTACTTATTTTTAATTGGAGGATAATTGCTTTATAATACTGTGCTGTTTTCTGCCTTATATTAACATGAAATCAGCCATAGGTATATGTATGTCCCCTCCCTCTTGAACCTACCTTCCACCACCTACCCGTCCCACCTCCTCTAGGTTGTCACGGAATGTTGGATTTGAGCTCCCCACGTCATACAACAAATTGTCACTGGCTGTCTACTTTTACACATGGTGATGTATGTGTTTCAATGCTGCTCTCTTAGTTCATCCCACCCACTCCTCCCCTCTATGTCCACAAGTCTGTCCTCTCTGTTTGCATCTCCATTGCTGCCCTGCAGACAAGTTCATAAGTACCATCTTTCTAGGGTCCATATACATGTGTTAATATGTGATCTTTGTCTTTCTCTCTTTGACTGACTTCACACTGTATAACAGGCTCTAGGTTCATCCACCTCATTAGAACCGACTCAAATGCATTCCTTTCTGTAGTTGGGTAATATTCCATCGTGTATACGTACCATGGCTTCTTTATCCATTCATCTGTCAGTGGACATCTACATTGCTTCCATGTCCTAGATATTGTAAACAGCGCTGCAGTGAACATTGGGGTACATGTGTCCTTTTCAGTTATGGTTTCCTCAGCATATATGCCCAGGAGTGGGATTGTTGGGTCATATGATAATTTTATTCCTAGTATTTTAAGCAGTCTCCATACTGTTCTCCATAGTGACTATATCAAGTTGCATTTCCACTAACAGTGCAGGAGGGTTCCCTTTTTTCCACACCCTCTCCAGCATTTATTTGTTTGTAGATTTTTTTGATGATGGCCATTCTGACTGTGTGGTGATACTTCATTGTAGTTTTGATTTGAATTTCCCTAATAATGAGCGATGTTGGAGCCTCTTTTCACATGTTTATCAGTCATCAATGGGTCTTCTTTGGAGAAATGTCTGTTTAGGTCTTCTGCCCACTTTTTGATTAAGTTGTTTTTCTGGTATTGAGCTGAAGGAACTGCTTGTATATTTTGGAGATTAATCCTTCGTCAGTTGTTTAGTTTGCTATTATTTTCTCCCACTCTGAAGGTTGTTTTTTCATCTTGTTTATAGTTTCCTTCGTTGTGCAAGAGCTTTTTAGTTTACTTAATGGACAGTAACTTTTGAATAAAATATTGCAAATATTCACAATACAGTGACAAAACCTATGTACCAACATCCTGAGTAAATGGTTGTTTATACGTTGCTGTGTGTAGTGGTTTTTTAAGTTGATTAAAGTTGCACACCTTTCCTTCCCATCCCCCTACCCGAGGTGACCCTCTTCCTGTATGGATGTTCCCTTTCCACCCACAGCTTTCCACTGCAACGTCACCTGAGTGTTTATCCATCTCTGCTGCCATAACAAAACACCAGAGACCGGGTACTTACACAACAGAACTTTGCTTCTGGAGAGGAAGGCTGAGATCCAGGAATCAGCATAGCTGGGCTCTGGGAGGACCTGCTTCCTGGTCTGCAGCCGCCTACCTTCTCGTGTCACGTGAAGAGAGAAGGAGCTACCTAGTGTCTTTTATAAAGGGCACCAATCCTATCATGGGGACCCCACCCTTATGACCTCATTCAAGCCCAGTCACTTTCCAAACCATCCTCCTACTGACTTTTCAAGCATCCTCTTGTGACACTGTCTTTTTAATTTGCAGTATTACTGATTTGGGTATATTCTGTTTACCAATCTGCTTATACGAACCAACCTAGTTTTATACAAATTGCAAGTAACTTCTTGCATTTGTGACTTAACTTTACAATATTTCATTGTACAGAAGATAAATTTACTTTTAATTTTTATGTTGATATGTTGTATTTTCATTTTTATTTAAGAAATTTTCTTTCTTTTTTTTTTTTATTGCACTGCATAGCATGAGGCTGTTAGTTCCCCAACCAGGGACAGAACCTGAGCTCCCTGCAGTGGAAGCTTGGAATTTTAATCACTGGACCACCAAGGAAGTCCTAGAAGATATATTCTAACTTAGAAAGTTCATCCTTTATTTTTAACTGGTTTCTCTTATTACTTTTAAAGGACATCCTACACTACTCTCAGGATCAAAATGACTATATTGTCTTAAATTTTTGCTTTCTGAGTTTAGGTCTATAAACCATCTGGAAATGTTTTCACAGGCATGAATGGAATTGATCAGAGACCTGACTGTGCAATCATACGGCTTCCCCTAGGACCTATACTGAAGGGCACATTCCTTTCCGGCTGTGTCACTGGGACTTGAGTCTTCCAGCAGCCACCATCTTCATCACTTGGCAGGAAATAACTTCACTGTCTATTCCGTGGGCACCACCAAGAGTGTGAGACCAGTCTGCCGGAAGCCTGCAGTGCAGGTTGGCTTTCTGGACTGCTTTGGAATCCTCCCATACGTGGACCCAGGGTGGTGACCACCTCGGGCTGTTACAGTGGGGCTGGTTTGGAAATCCCACCTTCATCTGCTTTGGGGACAACCCGAGACTGTCCTACTGGCAGCATGAGCGTAAGAGGAGTTTCCCTGCCTTCTCCCCCTGCCTGTTTCTTGGACTTGAAGGTAATTCCTCCCTTGGACCCTTCATGGGTTCTGCTCCAGGCCTCGCTGCATCCCTTCCCATCCCGGCCCAGTGGACCATGATATGAAAGAGACAAGGGTGGATGGTGCGGTGTCACTTCCGCCCGGAGGCCCCGAGTCACACCCTGGGCACGGGCACCAGTACAGCCCTCACTGGTGGCCGCACTCCCTCAGCCCGCTGCGTCGTGGTCGCTGGGAGATGACCCCTTTCCCTATAAGAGAGGGGCTCCTGGAAGCAGGGCTGGACAGCAGCTGGGCTCACCTGGCCGCCCCAGCACAGAGCCTGGCAGCGGACACAGCATCCACGTGGGAGGAACTGAAATGCAGTGAAGACACAAAGGGGACCCCAGATTCACTGGCCTCACACATGCGCACACGCACACACACACATACACGCACACTCATGTGTGCACACACGCGTGCACACATACACGCACACTCACGTGTGCACACACACGCTCACACACATGCACACGCGCACACATACACACACACTTACCTGTGCACACACATGCATGCTCACACACATGCGCGCACACACGTGCACACACACGTGCACACAGATACACATGCATACTCACACACACACATGCACATGCACACACGCGCGCGCACACACACGTACACTCACGTGTGCACACACATGCACGCACACACGTGCACACAGATACACATGCACACTCACACGCGCGCGTGCACGCACACGCACACACGCACACACTCACACGTGTGCACACACACACGTGCACACACACACGCACACAGATACACATGCACACTCACGCACACGCGTGCATGCACACGTGCACACACACTCAGGGGACACAGGACTGAAATCCCGCTAGGACTGAAATGTCCTTTCATCCCACTGTCTCAGCTCTGAGGCATCATCTCCTTGCAGTCAGGAATCTGCTCTCCAAATAGCTAGGGAGGTTTATTTCAAGGGGAGGAAAGAAAGGGGCACTGATTATCTAAGTACAATACTTTTTCTTACAAACAGAATTAAAAGTGGTTCGCGGTGCTGCAGTGGGGCTTGGCCCCCAGGAGAAAGGCAGGCACGTTTTGCGCTTGGACCACCTAGGCGATTCCTTCAGGTGAAGCCAAAAGCCGCTGCTGACTGCAGGTATCCAAGATGTTGAGAGTCTCCAGGGCTGCCCTCCAAACCCCAGGATCTGAGTCCAGCTGTAGCTCCTGGAGAGCTAAGAGGGAGCGTGTGAGGAGGAGGATGGGGACCCTGCAGCCAGGCCCTCGTCCTCCGCCCGCCCTGGGCAATGCTGATGAGAGCTGACTGTGGGGCGAGGGGCTCATGGGGCTTTGAACTTCGTCCCCACCCGGAGTGTGAATTTGGAAGATGGCAGGTCAGTCGTGTGTCCACACGCATCTCCCATCCCTGGGGACTTCCGTCCCTTCAACAGGGACAGGATGATGACCCCCAGGCCCCCCGCCGGAGGCATCAATGTGTATGACAGGGAGCAAGGAAGGGGCACAGGGAACCATCAGGGCTGTCTTCCTAGAAAGACAGGTTCATCCCCTCTCTGGGCCCTGGCCATCCCCACCCCCCAAGCCAGATACAACCAGGGTCAGCTGACTCTCCCCTCGCGTGGTTTCACTAAGCTCCCAAACGAGAGGAGTGGACTCATTTTTGACTCGCACTTGTGTCTCCACTACTTACAATTCCGTAATGCTGGAAAATCCAGCTTTTTCAAGTAATGCGCAGACATCTGCTTCATAATAATTCCTAAAATGATAGTCAGAAATGCCCATCATATGAATATTAGGTCAGTGAGAGATTTCATTTCACCTGATGAGAGTTTCTGTTAAGTGTTTAGTTCAGGACGTCTAGCTCAGCATCGGGCAGGTATGAAGTGCCATGGGACACACATGGTGGGCTCCTGCCTGCACCTGAGTCCCAACACCTGTCCCCACTCCAGACCTGGGTCTGACAAGATGGTCTTCAAGGTCCCTCCTGCATCAGGAGACCTGCCAGCTCACCTGCCAAGTTACATGCAGCGATTCTGATCCTTGACAAGTTGCTTTTAACATAGGTCATTGTTTCTAGCAAGAAGTTGTAGAGAATGGCAGGCTTTTTCTGAGTCTGCAAAAAACAAGTGACACCCAGCACCATGGAAGAGGAGGTCGTGCAGACTGGCTGCTCACAGATGGCGCTCATCTGCTCACAGATGCCCGTCTGTCTGATGCTAGAGGGTCTGCCCAGAGAGGGCAGGTGCTCATATCAAAGCCACACAGCAGATTAGCAGATAGGCAACTTAAGGACCTTCAGGTTTCCGTTACTCTTCTCTTTTGGTCACTATGTCTTGTCCGACTCTTTGTGACCTCATGGACTGCAGCACACCAGGCTTCCCCTTCCCTGTCCTTCAGTGTCTCCCAGAGTCTGCTCAAACTCAAGTCCAAGGATTCAATGATGCAATCCAACCAACATGGCTAGTCTGAATTAAGTGTAAAGTGCCTCCTGGATACTGAAGACATTATCCCAAAGAGGTAAACTATTACATTAATAATTGTTTATTGATTGCCTGTTGAAATGGCAATGATTTGGAACTACTGGGCTAAATAAAACCTATTATTAAATTTGGTTTCACCTCTTTTTACTTTTTTCAACAGAAATCTTAAAGATGGGTGTGTGGTTTGCATTCTCTTTCTGTTGGACTGAGCTGGTCTCAACACCTCCTGTCTCACAGGATCACAGGATGGAGCCCCAAGCCCCCGGGGCCGTTCCCTGCCTCAGCTTCCTCACCAGGATGGAGCACAGAGTCATCTGGAAACCGGTCATCTCCTTGGGGGCTGTGGCATCACTGTGGTCCGCGGAGCTCTCCAGGGCCCTCCAGCACCAGCATTGCAGACACTGAAAGAGGGTGGCCACACAGGCCTGGAGGACGCAGGACGGGAAGGCAGGAGAGGTGTCAGGCGGGCCCGGGGTTCACCGAGGGGTGGGGTGGGCGGGGCTGGCATCACACAGTAAGCTAGAGGGCAGCCCCCCAAAGGCCTCAGGAAGCCAAAGCAGGGTGGTTGATGAGCCCCAGGGGGCTGCCTGGGACCCAAGCCCTACTGGCCCGTGAGACACCTTGGGCATGTTTACTGAGAAGCCGCACGGGTGCAGATGCAGCCCCATGGCCCCCTTAGCCACTGGCCAGCACTGGATGCCCTCAGCAGCCCTGCCGGGACCTAGCCCTCCAGGAGCCTGGGGTGGGGGCCTGCCTGCACCCCTCTATCCCCTCTCCCCAGCTCTCCCTGTCCCCATCCCCTGCAGTAACCAGGCCCCCTGGTCGTGGACTCTGCTGGGGTTGGGTCACAGGAAGGTACTGGAATGGAGGGCAGGGAAGGGGGTTGGGGTGTCTGCTCCCCCAGGAGCAGGAGGGGCAACAGCACCCATGGGGGCCCTGTGCCGTGCTGGCCTCTCCTCTTTGTGGCTTCTTCATTAAAGCCTCTCATTCCCTTTTGGGGTAGGCCATCACTTTCTTCCCTGAAGCCCTGCCTCCAGGAGAGTTGCTGATAAAACATGAAAGGACTGTGAACTTTTGATAGAAGGCAGTGAGGATAATGAAAGTGTTAATCAGTTCAGTCCTGTCCGATTCTTTGACACCCCATGGACTGTAGCCCGCCAGGCCCCTCTGTCCATGGGATTCTCCAGGCAGGAATACTAGAGTGGGTAGCCATTCCCTTATCCAGGGGAGCTTCTCAATCCAGGGATCAAACATGAGTCTCCTGCATTGAAGGCAGATTCTTTACTGTCTGAGCCACGAGGGAAGTCTTTGACTCTGTGGATCACAACAAACCAAGAAAAACTCTTAAAGAGATGAGAATACCAGACCACCTTACCTGTGTCCTGAGAAACTTGTATGCAGATCAAGAAGCAACAGAACGAGATATTGAACAACAGATTGGTTCAAAATTGGGAAAGGAGTGCATCAAGGCTGTATACTATCACCCTGTTAAATAACTTATATGCAGAGTACATCATGTGGAATGCTGGGCTGGATGAATCACAAGCTGGAATCAAGATTGCCAGGAGAAATATCAACCACCTCAGATATGCAGATGATATCACTCTATGGGCAGAAAGCGAAGAGGAACTTAAGAGCCATGCGATGAGAGTGAAAGAGGAGAGTGAAAAACCTGTCTTAAAACTTAGCATTCAAAAAACTAAGATCATGGCATCTGTTCCCATCACTTGATGGCAAATAGATGGGGGAAAAGTAGAAACAGTGACTGACTTTATTTTCTTGAGCTCCAAAATCACTGCGGATGATGACTGCAGCCATGAAATTAAAAGACGCCTACTCCTCGGAAGAAAAGCTATGACAAACATAAACAGCATATTAAGAAGCAGAGGCAAATCGCTTTGCCAGCAAAGGTCTGTATGATCAGAACTGTGGTTTCCCAGTGGTCCTGTATGAGTGGGGAAGCTGGACCATAAGGAAGGCTGAGTGAAGACGAGCCGATGCTCTCAGGGGTGATGCTGGGGAGATGCCTGAAGCCCCTTGGACCGCAAGATCAAACCAGTTAATCCTAAAGGAGGAAATCAACCCTGAATATTCACTGGAAGGACTGATGCTGAGGCTGAAGCTCCAATACTTTGGCCACCTGATGTGAAGAGCTGACTCATTGGAAAAGACTCTGATGCCAGGAAAGACTGAGGACAGGAGGAGAGGGGGGTGACAGAGGATGAGATGGTTGGATGGCAGCATCGACTCAATGGATGTGAGTCTGAGCAAACTCCAGGAGACAGGGAAGGCTAGGGAAGCCTGGTGTGCTGCAGTCCATGGGGTCACAGCGTCGGACATGAATAGTGACAGAAAGACAGAAGAGAGGGCGGCTGGTGAAGGCATCTGGGGAAGAAGGAAAGTACACCGTGTTTCCCCTCACAGAGCCGAGACTCCTCAATCAGCCAGTTTGTGGGTTATCTTGACTGGTCCCTTTCTCAGCCTGGTGGGAGGAAGCAGCAGATGGTGGCCTCTGGGGTCCCGGGAAGACTGAGGGCGGCGGGGGACACCCCAGGAGCTGGGGCAGCAGACTCGAAGCGCGTGTTCCTTGTGGGGACAGCAGGCCCTGGGCATTGCCCACAGAGCCCAGGTGTGTCTCACCTGGGCGGCATCGGAGCAGGGGTCCTGGCAATGTAGCATGAGGGGCACCCAGGCTTTCTTCACTTCCTGCTTGAAGAAATGCTTCTTGGAAATCCTGACCACCTGTGCCAGCTTCCCGAAGAGGATGAAGGCTTTTAAACGCAGCAGCTCACTCTCCTGCAGCCAAGATGGACAAGCTATTTCTGAAACATGGGAAGCAAGAAGCCCAACAAAACCCCAGCCATTCTCTGTGGACCTTCTTAAACACCTTGGTGCCTGCAAAGCCTTCTGGATCATTCCATCAGGATGGAGTGTCTCCTGCAGGGCTCTGGGGACTGGGCAGTATTCTGGTGTTTGTGACCTTTTCTTGCCTAGACGGGGGCTGTGCTGGATCTGATCACCTACCACCTGAAGCTAGCAGAGTCCCCATCCCACATATCACCGGTGTCCAAAGAGCATTTGTGACTGTGAGGAATTAAAGTCAGTGGAAGAGGGTCCCATGGGCCCTAGAACAAGATTTTTTTTTTAACCAGTCCCCGTGATCAGCCAATCGATATATCAGCCAAGTCGGAACTGCACCCCTTTTCATTCCAGGGCACCTCTCTCATTTTAGGGGATGAACAGTGGCCACCTGTTTACTGAGCAGCCATTCGTGGGGACCCCCATGAGGGCCAGGGCCGAGCAAGGCGCCAGTGTGGACTCACGTTGTCAAAGAAGGCTCTGCACTGCTCAGAGATGGCGTTGAAGGCGGACCCCAGGTCCCCTTCCCGCAGCTCGACCAAGACCTTGGCCAGGACCTCCAGGCCCTCGGAGATCACGCTGGTGCTCACGCCGGGGCCCCGCAGGGAACTCATGCACTTCTCCAGTAAGAGCTTCCGGTACTGCCTCACCTGGGGGACACGGGGCCATCAGCCCTCGCCTGGCTGCCCGGGACACGCCGCCATGGGCCCCTCACCCCCGGCCCCCGCGGACCTTCCTGGGGGCGCCGAGGGCCATGTTGCCGAGGGCGCGCAGGGAGAGCACCCTCAGAACCTCGTCCTCCTGCTCCGCGCCCTTCTCCAGCATCAGCACCGCCCGCTTCAGTAGCTTCTTCTGGTGCAGGATTGGGTCACTCATGAACTGGAAAGGAGAACTGTTCACAGTCACCCCCGAGAGAGGCTCTCGTTCCTCAGCCTGAAAACGGGACAGGTGATGCGACTCGATGCCCAGAGCGGCGTCCCTGGGAACAGGAGAGGATGCGGAGCTCCGCCTCCCAGGACGGGCTCTGGGCTTCTCTGCCGCCAATTGTGGGACCTGGCAAGTCTCTGGACCCCTCGGAACCTCAGCTTCCTTACCTGTAAAAAGGGTGACAGCAGTACCTGCCTCATGGAGTCGCTGTGAGGCTCCGATGCAGAAATACGTGGGGAAATCCTAGCTGAGTGTTATCGATAGGAACACACCTGTTTATCATTGGTTCCTTCCCTTAACGTGATGGGAGCAGTCATGGTGTGCAAGAGCCACGCCCACTGAGTCAGAGCAGAAATGCACAAGATGCACGGATTCCACTCCCCTGGGCCTCCTGGGGTCACTCCTGGGCTCGCACCCAAAATGCTGGGCTCTTGGGACCACGGTGAGCCCTGTGGCATGCCTGGGTGCACGTGTGTTTTATAAACCTTGGTGGTGGTGGTTTTGCTGCTAAGTCATGTCCAACTCTTGCAATCCCATGGGCTGTAGCCCGCCAGGCTCCTCTGTCCATGGGATTCTCCAGGCAAGAATACTGGAGTGGGTTGCCATGCCCTCCTGCAGGGGATCTACCCGACCCAGGAATCGAACCTGGGTCTTCTGCAGTGCAGGTGGATTCTTTACCGACTGTGCTACAAGGGAAGTCCCATTATAAACCTTAAGAAAACTAAATACCCAGTGGGTGACCCCGGAATGGAAAACTGATTCTTAAGCTTTCTACAGAACAAGTCTGCCAGCCCCGCCCTAGGGCGAAGATTGGTTCCCATGACACCCTGGGTGTCAGAGAGCCATCAAGATTTCCCCCAAAAGTTTTCTGGCCAATTTCCTCAGGACCCCATAAGGAAGGGTAGCTGGGCATCAGCAGCTCTGACCCCTCTTCTGGGCCTTCCTGCCTGGCTCAGCCTGGCTCGCCTCTCAGAGCCCTCTGCCCGGCCTTCCCAGGAAAGCCCTCCTCTGGCCCTGGGTTGCTGGCGCTCATCGCATCACGCAGCCCTTGGCGGCTGGACTACAGGGCACAGGACCGGTCTCAACTGCTTCCCCTCGGTGCTCGCCTTGAATCATGCGCTTGATGAATGAACAGAGGCGGGCATGAGGGATGTTCACCTGTCCCTGCAACCCCGGGCTCAGAGCCTGCGTGGCTGCCCTGAGATGAGCCTCCAGGACAGCCCGTTCCACGCAGACCGCCGTGCTGCTGATGCGGCAGCTCAGGGCCTCCGAGGCCATGCCCCTGAGCGCCAGCTCCGACAGCCTCTGCCGGTAGCAGCCCTCGGGGCTCCGCACGCACAGCCTGCAGGGACGGCACCACGAAAGGGGCTTCTCAGCTCCTGCCCAGCACAGCCGCTCTGCAGCAGGGTGCCCGGGGTGGGGCTCCCAGGTCAGGGAGTCACTGAAGTACGGACCCTCCACTTGCTCTTTATAAAAAGTGGAAGTGCAAGTCGTGTCCGACTCTGCGACCCCATGGACGGTAGCCTGCCTGCTTCTCTGTCCACGGAATTCTCCAGGCAAGAAGACTGGGGTGGGGAGCTGCTCCCTTCTCCATGGGAAGCTTCCCAACCCAGGGATCGAACCCAGGTCTCCCCTTTATAAAAAGGGGGCCAGAATGAGGGTCTAGACCCAGGAAGGAACTCCCGGTCCTGCTGTCCTGGCTTGGCTCGGAAGCCCTTTGTGACCCTGGGCACACCCCATCCACCTGGGACCTCGCTTTCGTGCCTTGGAGCAGGAGGGGCTGGAAGAAAAGATTTCCTTTGCCCTGCACCCTCCTGCCACTCAAGAGTCTGGGATGCGGGTCAACATGGCAATCCGCCCCCCCGCAACCCCCACCCCCCACATACACCTGGAGTGAGGCATTTAGCCACGAGGCCCAGACTTTCCAGCCAGGCGATGCAGCCCCGGGGAGCCGGGCACCCACCTGGCCAGCTGGCTGACTCCCTGCAGGAACGTTGAGCTGCTCTCCAGAAGCGTCCACACGCCCTGCTCCTCTAGGGTGCAAAGCAGAGACTCACTGTTGAGTCTCCTGAACAAGAGCTGCATGGATCTGATCGTTACCCTGGAAGAAGGTGGGGCCGTGTGAGGGTGAGGCTGCCCTACTGGGAGCACCCACCCTGCCTTCAATAAGCTCTTAGGTAAGCTCCGCACCCAGGCCCGTGAAGGGGCACCCAACACAGGCAGGGAGACTTGCTCAGGGCCTAAGAGCAGCCATGGGAGACAGTGGGTCTGCAAACTCTGAAAACCACACAGTGCTGGACCCACACGAGGAGGGTCATAAGCTGAGCTTCCAGAAATTTCTCCTCCCCACCAGGAAGGGAAAACAAGGACCTATCAGTGGAGGTGACACTTGTAGTTCAGTGACTTTTATTTTTAAGAACATTTATTTATTTGGCTGTACAGGGTCTTACAATAGAGAATCTGCCTGTAATGTGGGAGACCTGGGTTCAAGCCCTGGGTTGGGAAGATCCCCTGGAGAAGGGAATGGCTACCCACACCAGTATGGGTATGGACAGAATCTCATGGACAGAGGAGCGTGGTGGGCTAAATACAGTCCATGGGGTCACAAAGAGTTGGTCACTACTGAGCAATGAACACTTTCATTTTCACAGGATCTTAGTTTCGGCATGTGGGATCTAGTTCCCTGACTGGGGATTGAACCTGGGCCCTCTACATTAGGACCTCAGAGTCTTAGCCACTGGACTACCAGGCAAGTCCCCAGTCGAGTGGCTGCATCCAGCCCAGGTCCACAGCCTCACCACACCGCACCTTCCCACCCTCGAGCGCACCTCTGCAGGGTGACCTCCTCAGGGAGGGTCCCCGTGTGGATGAGTCTCCATGTCTTCAGGACAGGCGACACGACCTCCTGGCCCTGGCTGCTGCCCAGCTGCAGGAGGAGCGTGTAGATGAGGTCCGGGAAGAGATCCAGGAGCCTGTTGTCCCAGTCCATCCTCTCGACGAGCAGGTGGATAGTGCACAGGGTCTGCAGGGAGGAGAGCCAGAGGTGGTAGGGGTCTCACTGAGCCCCCGAGGCGGGCCCGCCCCCCCTGCCTCACCATCAGAGGGTCCACCGTGGCCAGGCGCCAGATGTCGGCCTTGGAGGCAGCGTTGGCCCTGGGCGTGAACCTCGCCTGCAGCCGGCCCATCAGGGCGTGGAGCATCGTCCGGGCAAAGGGCACATTCTCGGCCACAGCTAGCCACACCTCCGTCAGGTGGCTAGCCAGAGACAGGGGATGAGGACTGTGGGTTTGGGGTCATGTGCCCTGGCAAGTCAGAGACCCCCAGGGACCCCGGGCAGCCCCTGGAGCAGGGGCTGGACCCTGGAGGTAGGGTCTCGGGGAGGTGGGTGAACCACCGAGGCTGAACAGCCAGAGGCCGGGTCCTGCCCCGCACCTCTGCCCACGGTGCTCCCGGGAAGCCCCGGCCCCCTCTCTCTCTCTCTCCCTCTCTCTCTCTCTCTCGGAAGGCCCAGCTTTGCTGCTAGGGGACTCAGGAGTCCCCACCGGGCCGACTGTGTGATGACTTCATGGACACGTCCGGTCATAGCCCCCCAGTGCCCAGGCATGTCAGGTCAGCACCAGGCAGCTTGCTGATACCTATCACTCCTCCTCCCAACACGTCTATGTGGAAGGAGCCTTCGTTTCCATTTCCACAGAAGAGGAAATGCCGCCCGAGGAGGTCAGGGAAGCTGCCAGACTACAGCTTGGAGTGGCCTTCCTGACCCCAAGTCCAGGCCCGCAGCCCTGCTGAGAAGGGGGGGGACAGTGACTTAATGAGCCTCTGCACACACACAGGTTCAGGCAGGTGGGGCCTGGTGGGCACTGAAGGGCTAAAGCCATGAATCCATCGGGATCAGCCTGCCTATTCGAATCCACAAATCCAAACGCCTAAGTGCAGATAAGTGAGTTTTGTCGAGGATGGGGAAAATGTAACAGGGGCCCGATGGCAGGAACCGAATAGAAGTGGGGGCACAGTACGCTCGTTAAAATCAACTCAGAAAGAAGCCACAGGAGTGCAGGAAACCAGGACGTGGGGACCTCAGTCCTCTAACTCAAGAAACAGCCGCATGAGTTCGAAGGCGGCCCTGGGCTCCAGGAGAGAACACAGAGGGGCTGACACCTTGAGACATCAGAGACCATAAGCCAAAGCCCTGGCTTGGCCACGCCCAAGCTCCTGACCACAGAAACCAGATGATAACCAGTTGTTGTTCCAAGTTTCCAAGCTGGAGGCAATTAGTTATGCAGGAATAGCTAACTAATACAGTGAGAGCCTGCCTGCCAGAGGCCCCAGCCCAGCCCTGCTCTGAGAGGGGTAACTCTCGTTACAGCGCGCCACCTGCACGGCAGTGCCCTCCTACCTGGACCCAGGGAAAGGCTGCCCTTCAGAGCAGCAGCACGTGGGGCCAGGCCTGCGTCTCACACGTTGACACCTGTGTTCGAAACTCTCTTTTTGTCTCCTCCCAGCATCTGCCAGGTCTCTCTCCACCAAGCCTCAAGGCTGCCCTTCACTCCTTGGTCTCTGCTGCTCCGGGGACACCTTCCCCCCTCTTTCTGGGCCCTCCCCAGTATATACCAGTTCGATCCCAGCACACTCACTCCTCAAACTGGTGAGCTCCTACCAGTTGTCTGCCTGATGCCGTGACACAGACAAGGGGGCTGGGCGCAGTTCAAGGTAACACGAAGAGGAAGGCTTGCCCTGCTTCCCTGTGAGGCCAGCTGAGAGCCTGGGGGCTGTCATTTCACCCCTTGGGCACCTGGGTCACTTCCCTCTCGGGGCCCCATTTGGAAAGGGGGAAGGGCCGAGTGGAGCTTCTCCAGAGGTCTGCTTGGGCCCTGGGGACCACGTCCTGCAGTCTGTCTGGCCCAGAGCTCTGTCCTCTGCAGGGAGGAGAGGGCTGTCGAGGGGAGAGTCCAGAGGGCGCAGCCAGGACCCGTGAGATATGGGATCCAGACTCCAGCTCGATAGGAGGGAGCTGGAGCGTCAAGGCTCCAGGTCCGAGGTTCCCAGAGGCTGTACCACCCACAGAGATGCAAGGGGCAGTGGGGGTGTCTGACCACCCCCTCCCCCCGCCACAGGTCAGACGAGGCACCGCTCAAGGCCCCGGGCTCCTGGGACGTGTCCGTGGTGGCGGGTTGGGCCGGTCTGGGGGTCATGGGGGGCCATGGCCCCGCACTCGAGCACCCACCTCTCCATGGGCAGGGGCTGCCGCAGGAGCACCGTGAGGACAGTCTCCTGGTGGTAGTGGGCCAGCAGGAGGATGCCCTCGATCAGGAGGCGCCGCACCTCCCGGTGGTCCACCACGGGCAGGTGCACCAGGATGGCGCCCAGAATCTCGGCCACCTGGGGGCGGGGGACGGGCATCACCGGGCAGCCTGGCCCTCGGGGGCCCCCTGCCCTCGCCCCGCCGCACACCCCTCCTCCTGCCCAAGTGGACGCTGGGCAAGCTAGCCTGTCAGTGGCTGGGCACAGCTCAACCCCTTCCCAGGTATCCTCCGGTCTCTCCGGGGATTTTATCACATTTTCAGCATGAGAGGTGCCGTGCTCCAGGAGGGCCAGCCTCAGGCCTCCAGCCCAGAGTCCACTCACTGACCAAGCCTCCTTCAACAGGTTCTTTCCCCTTTCAGAACCTGACTTCCTCCCCCTCTTTATAATCACAGACTTCGGGATGGTGGGGAGCCCTTAGCAAGCGAGGCTGGGCCCCTCTGCCTGGTCCTCTAGGCTGGACACACCAGGCAGCCCCAGGCCCTGGGGGGCCCTTGTTACCTTGTCCTCCAGCTCCTTGACCCGCATCTGGAGGAAGGTGCATATCCAGGTGACAGAGGCCTTGTCGTGCTGGAGGTCCATGGCCCCGAAGTTCTCGCAGAGCTTCTGGACCAGTGAGACCACCTCGTCGCAGTTGAACTGCAAGCAGGCCACCTAGAGCCAGAGCTGGCTGTTCCTGGGTCCGACACCAAGCCCAAGGGCTCCCCTGCCTGCCCCTCTCTGCTCAGGGTCGCAGCCCAGCCCAGCCCCCATCTTCCCGCAAACCATGGCCACAGCTTCCTCTCGCCCCCTTCCCAGCCTCCGGCCCTGTCAATCACGGGCCGGCTTGGAGATCACTCAATATCAAAGCCTGGGGGGCACTCGCCAACCCCTCCCGCACCCCATCGCCTGCCCCCACCCCTCTGAACCCCGCACAGGAAGCTTCTCCCCAGACCCTCCCAGGCCTGCCTCTATGGTCCTGCAGCCTTCCCTGGGAGTGTCCTCTGGCCCCTGAGGCAGACAGGCCTCGCCCCTCTGTAGCCCCGAGGGTCTGGGCGGCCCTGGACACTGGCAGTCACTGGGTGCTGTCAGTCTGCCCGTGGGCTGACACCTGTGTGCAGGGCCCCCTGTCCAGTTCTTTCAGGGTAGCACATGATATGGACAAAGAAAGACAGCTGGAGTCTGTGACGCACCTACTGTGTGCCAGGCGCCACAGTGGGGGCTGTACATATCACAGGCCACTTTAATACACATGACTTGCGTTGGACCAAGGGCTGTGGGAGACCCAGGGAAGACCTTCAGGAGGAGCCTGGCCCCGCCCCCAGAGACGGCCCAGGCACCCGGAGGCCATGCCCGCACAGCCTTCCCGATCATCACCTTGGCAATTCTGGAGGATACCCCGAAAATCTTCTCCATGTCTGAGTCCTGCAGGTCCTCCTTACATTTCTCAAGCTCCAGCTCTTTGGAGGCGCCCCAGGAGGAGCAGGTCTGGCATGCTGGTGGGATACAATCAATGTCAGACACGGTTGTCCAGAACCAAGGGCCCACATCACGGTGGCCGCCTTTCCTGACCGGCCCCCCTCAACCCAACCCTCCCACCTCCCCGCCCCTTGGGTTGCCTTGGTTCCCTGGGCCTGGACTCCTCTCCAGTATCTGGACATCCCACCCCTCTTGCCTGGCCCCTGGAACCATCTCTCTGCACAGCTCAGATGGGCATTCTGCCAGCTGCCAAGCCAGAGGCAAACCCACCCTGAAGGTCCCCCAACTGCCTTCCCCTCTGAGCTCGCTTCTGGCCAGTTCCACCGCATCCTTAGTATCTGTGAGGCATCCCTGTCCAGTGGGACCCTCGTGTGCCCTCAGCGAATCATGCTGACCCGATAAGCCTTTCCTTCTAGAAGCTTCCATGACCTCTCAGTGAACTCTGCACCCCCCTCCCCCGCTGGTCACCCTTGCTTGTCTACAGAGAGACCACAATCCCTGCCGCCCTCCAGGATAGCCCCACAGCTGACTCCCTGATATTGCTCCTCCCTCTCGGCCTGGAGAGCCCGGGTCCTGCCTACTCGTACCACCCCTCCCGTACCGTGAAGATCCAGCAGGCTGGCCAGGACATCCATGGAGGCCAGGCGGGTTTTTCTGTGTGAGTCACAGGTGCCTGGTGCAATGAGTCCCACCAGGCTGCCAAACTGCCCCAGCTTCAGTGGGATCTGAGGGAGAGGAGACTTCAGAGTTCACACCGTTTGTCCAGCCAAGCTCACCTGGTGATGCCAGAGGGCAGTGCAACCAGGGGCCAAAGAGAGTGAACCCTGCTCTGAAAGCACCCCTGTTGGGGAAGGGAGAGGATGCCACCATCTGTCTGAGCCCGAGCTTCCGTCTCCAGGCCCCCCAGCTTGGGCCCCGGGAGGCTGAGCAGCTAGGATGTTGCCCCATGACCCAGGCCCAGGTGCTAAGTCTAGGCGCCTACCCTGTTTCTATAACTGAGCCCTGCCTTCAAATCTGGGCTTCCCCACTCTCTAGCTGTGTGACCTGGGGAGGGACTTAGCCTCAGGCCCTCTTGTTCCTGTCTGCTACTCAGAGATGATTATTGTTGAGTCCTGCTCCAAAGCCACAGGTGCAAGCCTTGTACCAAGGCCACAGAAGCAGAGCCAAGAACCAAGGTCACCTCTGAAACTGACTAAGCCCCTTTGTAATATTGCCAAAGTTCCTATGATCATCACCAGCAGGCTTCCTGACCCCAAATTAGGCAAAGATGCCCACCCTGGTAGTCACTCTATAGCGCCCTAATGCCAACCTTCCTACAGGAATTTTCTTTGTCTTGAGGTTATAAAAATTGACTACTAACCCAGGAAAACTGTTGAGTCTCCCCAGTCTGTCAGGAGGTTGGCCCACTGTGCTTGCAGGGTCCACATTATCTCTGCAATTCGTTCTTAATAAACTCCCTCCTTTCTGAAACGCTGTGTGTCTGGAAAGTCTTTTCTAACCACACTCACACTGCCTCAACAATAACGGTGCCCCATCTTTCAGGGAGCGTTGTGAGACTCACGACAGAGAGTCCAGGTGAAGCACTTTGTGTAGCACCTAGTTACTCAGCGCTCGGCTCGGCCACAGGTTGGCTTTGCCGGGCCTGGGTCCCACCTGGATGGTGCTCCAGGACTGGGGTCCCGCCCCAGCTTGTCCTCACCGTGCCCCGGCCCCAAGACCCCACCGCCCTCCTCCCAAGGCCACCCATGAAGACCAGACAGCCAAAGAGTAGGAGGCCAACAAAGGAAGGAAGAGAGGGCTTGTGGAGCCGTGTCAGAGGCTCCATCACCAAAAAACCTCATTGCTTTTCTAGATTTTGCGATGTCGATGGTATTTGTTAAGCTTTGTAAAATTTGTCATTTTGTAGTGATTCATTTTCTCATTCTAAGTAAATACTTTCCTAATCAATGTGGTATTCATAATCATGTGCCCCATTCTCTTAAGGAGGGCCCTCACCCAGGTATGAATCTCAGGCCCCTCAAAACCCGGATCCACACCAAGCCCTGCCCATCCTCTCTCACTACCCAGGAGGCCCAGGGCCAGCTCTCCCTGGGACTCCTTCGACTTTCCCCAGTGAGGCAGCCTCTTCCCAAGGGTCTCTCCAGGGACAGAACTGGATTTCAGAGGCGTTTCCTCTCCTGGGATAGAGACTGGAATTTTCCTGTGGGTGTCAGTGGGGCAGGTTGTAGGGGGTGGGTCTCCGGGACTCACGCAGACACCGATGCTTTGGACATAGATCTGCATGAGATGGAGATGGAGGTTCACCGCCTTCTCCCGCTCCCATTCTTTCTCCGACAAGATCCACTTCTCCAGGAGCTATGGGGAGAGCCCAGAACACAGAGGGGACTTTAAAATCCTGAGGTCAGCCTTTCCTGGCCAGCTGCTGCTCTCCTCTCTCCTACTCAGAGCCTCATTTTCAAAGCTCTGGGAGGTTCCCAGGTCCCCCCGCCCCCGCCACTAGGGAGATGAGGCCATGAGCAAACAAAGAACAATGCCAACATCCTCACCAAGCTGGTGCTTGGCTGATGAGTTTGGGTTTGTTCCAAGTGTTTGCCTGTAGGTGAAAATGCCACTAGCACAGTCCATCCTGCACTCCAGCTCCTGCACCTAACAACACAGCTTAACAAAACAGGGAGCAAAAACTGATAGAACTGCAAGGAGAAACAAACAAATCCACAGTGACAGAGATGTCAGTACCTCTTTCTCAGCAACTGATGACAGAGAAGACAAAATCAGGAAGGATATAGAAAACTTGGACACTTCCAACAAGGGCTGGTTAAGTGATATTTAGGAACATATCATTCAGTGCAGCAAAATACTTCCTAAGCACACACAGAACGTTCACCAAGATAGACCACATGTGGGCAACAAAATAAGTCTCGATGGATTTAAAAGGCTCTGAATTATACAAAGTATGTCCTCAGACTACAGTGGAGTTAAACGAGAATCAAAACCAAAAAGGTCTCTGGAAAACTCTCAAATATTTGGAAATTTCTAGATGACCCATGGGTCAAAGGAGAAGTCAAAAGAGAAATGAAAATGCATCGTCAAACTAAAATAAAATCAGAATACAACATATCGATATTTGTGGGGTATAGCACCAAAGAACAAAGTCAGTGGACTTATACTATCTGCTCCTGATTTCAAGACTTACTATAATGTTGACAGGATTATAATGAAGACAGGATGACACTGGTGTAAAGATGGACAAAAACATCAGTAGAGCAGAACAGGTATCTAGAAATAGACCCACACATACGCGGTCAATTGATCTCTGACAAAGATGCAAAGGTAATTCAGCAGAGATTACCTTTCCATCAAATGGTGCTGAAACAATTGGTTATCCATGTGCAAAAAATTAAAATCAATTAAACTTTGATCCATATTTGAAACCTAAGCTGAAAATACATCATAGACTTCAATGTAAAACCTGAAACTATCAAGTTCTAGAAGAAAATCTAGGAGAAAACCTTTATGACCTTGGTTAGTAAAGATTTCTTAGACATGATACCAAAAGCATGATCCATAAAAGAAAAAATAATAAATTAGAATTCATCAAGATTAAAACCTTCTTCTCTTCAAAAGAACCTGTGAAATTAATGAAAAGGCAAGTCACAGACCAGGAGAAAATATTTGCAAATCACATGTCTGATAAAGGATTTGCTTCTAGATTATATACAACCTCTGAAAAATCAATAATAAGAAAGCAAACAATCCAATTTTTAAAAAAGCCCTAGCAATACTATATTCAAAAATACCAAGATTATGAAAGACAAAGACTGAGAAATTGTTCCAAATTGAAGCAGAGAGACAAAAGAGACAAGACAATTAAATGCAATTTATAATCCAGATTAGATCCTGGTTCTCAGAGGAAATAACCTATGAAGGTCATTACTAGGCAATTGTGAAATATGAATATGGAAAATCGATTAGACTACAGCTTGGTATCAATGTTAAATTCTGTGATTTTGAACAGTATATTGTTATATAAGAGAAGATTTTTGTTGTTGATGCCTATAGCTAACTCTCCATGATTCAAAAGGTGTGTGTGTGTGTGTGTGTGTGTGTGTGTGTGTATGTATGTAATGTAAAGAGGAAAAAAAAAGGGAAAAAGAACATGTCACAAAATATTAAGAATTGTGGATCTGGGTGAAAGGCATGCAGGAGTTCTTTGTACTGTTCTTGCAACCTTTCAGCTTTTAAGAATTTAACTTCAACTTTTAAGAACATTTTGTGATACTGAAATGTCACAAAATATTAAGAATTGTGGATCTGGATGAAAGGCATACAGGACTTCTTTGTACCGTTCTTGCAACTTTTCAGCCAGCTTGAAGCTTTGTCTAAAGAAAATTAATACCAAATCAGTTTTTAATGGATGCCTGTTTCCCAGTGAGAGTGTGGCCCTCGGATCAGCATTCTGGGAAGAGTGATCACCATCAGCTCCTGGCCCTCCTCCAGGCAACTCACGTGCACCATCTCCTGCAGCCCCTTGGGGTCTAGGTGTCTTTGCATGAGGCCCTCCATCAGCTGCTCCAGGGCACGCAGGGCGTTCGTATACAGGGTCTGTGGTCAAGAGAGGGGAGAGCTCGGCAGCAGTGGGGGAACAGCCACCTGCCAGGACTCTGTGTGGGCCCACGCCAGGGTCAAATATTGTGAGATGGTCTGATAACTTCCTTTTGACTTCTGCTCAGACTGAGTTCTTTACGCTCCTTATGTGACGAATAAGACAAACTCAAGAGGAACCCATTTTGCAAAGGAGGAAACTGGACTCCCAGAGCCCAGCTCTCCTGACCCCTCGAATTCAGGGCCAGGACCTGGAGACACAGATGGCCGCTGTTCACAAGAGATTTGTCCTCCTCTTCCAGCACCTTATTGGGAGACAGTCATCCAGTCGGGGACTGCATTTCCCAGGATGCCTTGCAGCTAGGTGGAGCCATTTGACCAAGTTCTGGCCAATAATGGGGGGCCAAGAGGCTCATAAATCCTCCAGACTTGCTCTGGGGCTGGGTATCACTGCCCACCGGAGGAGCCATGGGGTCTCTGTCAGCCCACGGCCCTGATCAGCCGCAGGAAGCAGCCACCTCTCCACCTCTGCTGCCAACTGGACTTCGAGTGAGAAAAACGGTCATCTTGTTAAACCATGAAGACTTCAGCGCGTGTCTGTTGCAGCAGCTCGCATCACCTTACACTTACTGAGAGAGCCTGCTGTACTTTGCTGCCCTGACCACTCCCAGGTGGTCCAGGACTGTGGGTTCCAAGCACTGCCCATGTGAACATCAGCTTCCAAGTCCTCACCCAGAAAATGAGGTGGCGCAGAGGGACCTACCTTAATGGACTCATTGCTCTCTCCTGGGGGCTGGAGAGAAATTACAGAGTGTGTACTAATATCCATCAGCTCACTGCGTTCCTCTGTGGAATAGAAAGGCTTCAGTTTGCTAGAGAAAAAAGTGATAAGAGGAGTGATCAGTGCGGAGCTGAGACCCTGCTCTGCCCAGTCTGGGGGGTGGTGGGAGGAGGCATGTCACAGAATGAGGGAGCGGCCAGCTTCTCTGTTTGGGGGTTCAGGCATCTGTCCCTCCCAAGGGGCCCCGGCTCCCCCCACCAGGGCTCCAGTCCACTGTCTGTCTGTGACGGAAGGGGAGACGCAGGCGTCCACAGCCACCTCTCCTATCACTGTCTGCTCTGAGTCTCTCTCTCTCCTGTTCAGAAACATTCCACTGGTCCTCCCTGACTGCAACCACAGACTCTGCTTCTGGGTGGTCCTGGCCCAGGAGTTTTCAACTGTAATACCTGGCCCAGGAGCAGCAGCAGCATCCCTTTGGAGTTTATTAGAAAATGCAAATTCTGTGTCTCCACCTCAGAGCTGCTGAATCACAGCTTCTGGAGTGGCGGACTCCCCTGGCGGTCCAGTGGTTAAGGCTTTGCCGTGCTGGGCCAGGGGGGCAGGGTCGATCCCACGCGTCTCGTGGCCAAAAAGCCAAAACATGAAACTGAAGCAATACTGTAACACAAACTCAATAAAGACTTTTTAAAAAATGGTCCACATAAAACAAACATCTTGAAAAAAACCAAAAAACTTCTGGAATGGAGGCCATCTGTGTTTTAACAAACCTTCGCTGGTAGTAGCTAGCTGCGTGATGCACACCAGCTGATTCTCTTTCTGTCCCCTTCATAGGTGGATCTCAAGCCTAGTTGCATATTAGAGTCACAGGAGAGCTTTCTAAGGGCCCCGGGGGCCATGCCCAGGTCCAGGGATCCTTGTTGGAGTCTTCGGTGGGGCAGGCTTGCAGGATGGTTACAAGCTCCTCATTGGCTCTATTTTGCCTTCAGAAGGGAGAGTCACCCTCCACTTAAACTCTAAACTCCTGGCCTCCAATGGGTTCCTGTATTTCACCTTTCCGGGTTTTCCCACTCCTACCCAAATCCAGTAATTCTGTTTAAAGTGAAAGTGCTCGAATCTGACTCTTTTTGACCCCATGGACTATAGCCCATCCATGGGGTTCTGCAAGCAAGAATCTGGAGAGTTGCCATTCCCGTCTCTAGGGGGTCTTCCTGACCAAGGGATAGAACCTGTGTCTTCTGCATTGCAAGCAAATTCTTTACCGTCCGAGCCTCCCGGGAAGCCCCAAAGGTGGTGCAACCTTCCCCCAAAGGCACCGAGAGGTGGTCTCAGACTTTGTCTGCAGCCCAGGGCGGCGCTGGGGGCCTGGCCAGGGAGCCGGCTCACCTCAAGTATGACAGGGCATCCATGGCCATGGTCCTCACGGGAGAAACCAGGCTGTCAGTCGGTTCTGCCTTGATGATCGCCTGCCGGGACAGCAGGGCAGTGAGCCGCCAGCCACCCGGAGTTGCGCCACAGCCAGGGCAGGGGCTTGGGGGACAGATGGTGGGGGCACGCCCTGCGTTACAGGCAGGAGGACCTGACAATGTATGATGGGATCCAATACCACAGGCGCTTTCATTCTTTTCATGGTCAGTTGGCCTTTGATGCTTTAGGTGAAGCTGCTCAGTCGTGTCCAACTTTGCAACTCCATGGACTATACAGTCCATGGAATTCCCCAGGCCAGAATACTGGAGTGGGTAGCCTTTCCCTTCACCAGGGGATCTTTCCAACTCAGGGATCGAACTCAGGTCTCCTACATTGCAAGCGGATTCATTACCAGCTGAGCCAGGACAGAAGCCCAGGGGAAGTAGCAAATCTCATGGGAGGAGTGGGGCTAAGATGGGCAGGTGCGTCTCGCTCATTTCTGCCACTTACTGGCTGTGTGTCCTTGGGCAAATCGCTTCCTCAGCCTGAGCCCCCGCTCAGGTGTGAAATGAGGATGCCGGGCCTGGTTCACAGGGCTGTGTCCGGCTGCTGTGAAATTACATGCGTGATGCCCGACCCCGAGCGGGAGCCTAGTGAATGTCTGCTTCTTTCTCAGGGCCTCCTGACCATCCGCGTCTCCCTTCCCTCCAGGCTGCTGTGAAATTACATGCGTGTGGCCCAACCCCGAACGGGAGCCTAGTGAGTGTCTGCTTCTTTCTCAGGGCCTCCTGACCCTGAGGGAAGGGCATCTCCCTTCCCTCCAGGATGCTGTGAAATTACATGCGTGTCGCCCGACCCCGAGTGGGAGCCTAGTGAATGTTTGCTTCTTTCTCAGGGCCTCCTGACCGTCCGCATCTCCCTTCCCTCCAGGGTGCTGCCGGTGCAGCCAGAGGGTGTCCAGGGGCCAGGGTTTCCATCGCAGGCGAGTGGAGAGGTCTGGGGACGAGGGACAGGCGGTGACCCACAGCCTCAGGAGCCCCTGCCGCTGCCTCTTGCCTTTGGACAGCTGGTACTTTCTAGATCTTAACAAAGTTCTGGGCAAAAGTAGCTCTAAGTCCTGTCCACGGCAGAGCCCGACCTCCTGGTCCTGACTAGGGAGAAACGCTGGGGCTAGCCAGGGGCTGACCATGGGGCTCTGTCTCCGAGCCCAGAACCAGACACCTTCGGGGCATCACTGGGCTCGGGGGCAGGGTCTTCAGCCCTGGCTTCCAGAATGTTTCCTGGCCATGAAAACCTTGATCAGATTTAAGAACGTCACACGCAGAACACCAACAGTCAGATCAAAGCGGAACTGAGACAGGCAGGGCCTTGGAGACCCCTGCCGCCCCTTGGGCCTCAGATGGCCTCAGGTCAGCAGAGTGAGACCCCCAAATTGCCCAGGATGGAGGAAGCCCCCTAGATAACTTACCATGATAATGCCTGTCAGGGTCGCTTTTTGGGCAAATTGAAAGTCTTCCAGGTCCTTGATGTTCTTGATGGCATCGGTGACCTGCACCACGCTCTTCATGAAGGCCAGTTTGAGGCAGATGTCCTGTGAGCATGACGAGGGGCAGGGAGGACCTTGTTGTGAGTGAGCCCCAAAGACCCCAAGACTGAGCCCTGCTCCCAGACCCTGGGGCCACACAGAACACCCTTCCCCTGCTGAGGAAGTATCAGTGTCAGGGGCACCCTGAGAGACGCTGGCCCCACCCTGCCCTTCAGCAACCTGGCAGGGACATGGGCCAGGTGCTGGACAGGGCACAGCCCTCCAGTGCCCCCCCAGAAGGTGATGCCTCCCCCAGCCTCTCCATCTTGTGCCCGAGTCCAACAATGCCAGTCAGGGGGCACCTTCACTGACCAGAGGCTCCGAGCCCTGTGCATCACGTTAGGGGTACAGTAAATCATGGATGTCAAATCAGTTTTGCTTTTAAGGCATGCACAAAACTTCAAGACATCATGCAACATGAGATCAGCCAGTCTCAAAAGGACAAATACTGTGATTTCCAATTATATGAGATGGCTGGAGCGTCACCATCATAGAGACAGGAAGTAGAAGTGTGGATGCCAGGGGTTAGGGGAGGGGGACTGGGGAGCTGATGCTAATAGGGACACAGTTTCAGTTTAGGAAGATGATGTTCAGGAGGTGAATGATGGTGATGGCTGCCCAACAGTTTGAATGCACTTAACACCACACTCAAAAGTAATGCTCAAAATTCTCCAAGCCAGGTTTCAACAGTATGTGAACTGTGAACATCCAGATGTTCAAGCTGGATTTAGAAAAGGCAGAGGAGTCAGAGATCAAATTGCAAACCTCCGTTGGATCATCTAAAAGCAAGAGAGCTGCAGAAAAACATCTACTTCTGCTCTATTGACTTTATGCCAAAGCCTTTGACTGTGTGGATCACAACAACCTCTGGAAAATTCTGAGAGAGACTGGAATTCCAGACCACCTCACCTGCCTCCTGAGAAATCTGTATGCAGGTCAGGAACAACAGTTAGAACTGGACATAACAACAGACTAGTTCCAAACAGGAAAAGGAGTACATCAAGTCTGTATATTGTCACCCTGCTTATTTAACTTATATGCAGAGTACATCATGAGAAAAGCTGGGCTGGAAGAAGCACAAGCTGGAATCTAGGTTGCCAGGAGAAATATCAACAACCTCAGAAAAGCAGATGACACCACCCTATGGCAGAAAGCAAAGAAGAACTAAAGAGCCTCTTAATGAAAGTGAAAGAGGAGAGTGAAAAAGTTGGCTTAAAGCTCAACATTCAGAAAACTAAGATCATGGCATCTGGTCCCATCACTTTATGGCAAATAGATGGGGAAACAGTGGAAACAGTGACAGACTTTATTTTGGGGGGGGCTCCAAAATCACTGCAGATGGTGATTGCAGCCATGAAATTAAAAGACACTTGTTCCTTGGAAGAAAAGTTATGAGCAACCTAGATAGCATATTGAAAAGCAGAGACATTACTTTGCCAACAAAGGTCTGTCTAGTCAAATCTATGGTTTTTCCAGTAGTCATGTATGGACGTTAGAGTTGGACTCTAAAGAAAGCTGAGTGCTAAAGAATTGATGCTTCTGAACTGTGGTGTTGGAGAAGACTCTTGAGAGTCTCTTGGACTGCAAGGAGATCCAACCAGTCCATCCTAAGGAAATCAGTCCTGAATATTCATTGGGAGGACTGATGCTGAAGCTGAAACTCCAATACTTGGCCACCTGATGCGAAGAACTGACTCATTGGAAAAGATCCTGATGCTGGAAAAGATCGAAGGTGGGAAGAGAATGGGACAACAGAGGATGAGGTGGTTGGATGGTGTCACTGATTTAATGGACATGAGTTTGAGTAAACTCCGGAAGTTGGTGATGGACACAAAGACCTGGCGTGCTGTGGTCCATGGGGTCACAAAGAGTTGGACATGACTGAGCGACTGAACTGAACTGAACTGAATGCCAATGAACTGCGTGCTTAAAAGTGGTTGTGATGACAAATTTCACATCATGTGTACTTCACCAGTTTTCAAAACAGCAATGATAAAGTCATTTCTCCTTTATTCCCTGAGTTTTCTCCTCCTGGCCTTTCCAAGAAAGCAGCCAGTCCTTTGCCTCTCTGAAGTCAGCCCCTTTCTTGACCCTCAGAAAGGGCTTGGGGTCAGGTGTCAGGATCGGGTTAGAGGTGAGAGAAGGCATGTGTGAAGGGCTGGGCGAGGGCTTGTCCTGTGACTTCAGCAACCCACAAACACCCCTACTCGGTGTATTGGGGAAGGCTGCTCCCCACTGCCGACCCCCCACTCCCAGCCCCTGCGGCAGAGAGCAGCAGGCAATGGGATTCCCAAATGCTGAGTGGCAGACGGGACTCCAGGACTCGAATCTCCTGGGTGGGGCTGGCAGTGCCCAGATAACCATGCAGTGTGACTCTCCCCGCCCCAGCCCGGGGCTCCAGGAGGGCATCGTCAGGGCACAGGGTGGGGCTGGCAGTGCCCAGATAACAGTGCAGGGTGACTCCCCCCCCCAGCCCGGGGCTCAAGGAGGGCATCGTCAGGGCACGGCGTGTCTGTGGGCTCCCGGGGTTGCCTGGCAGCTGCTCGAATAGTGGTGGATGATCTTGGCGGTGATGGGGTTGTCCACGTGGGTGAGAAGCATCTGCGGGTGGCAGCACGAGGCCACGCGGCTGTACATCACCATGAGCGCGCCCTTCACCGTCTCCCGCCTCCAGGGATGGTCCTTCTGTGAGGCCAGAGAGAAGGGGAAGAGACACTGTGGCCATCGGGGAGAGGATCTAATCCTCAGGTGTTCCCTGGGCACCTGAAGCGCTCAATCATGTATTCTCTCATTGAACACACTTTCATGAGGCCCTGGTGTAGCGTGGTGAGCAGGTCAGACCGTGGCCATGACTCCACGGTCACAGGGGTTCTGTGCGGACACCCCACCAGAGGCGGCTGTGCGCGCCTTCACACCTTCACCTCCTGAGCACCTGCTCTGGGCCAGGGGCTCCGAGATGCTGGTGATTCACTGGGAACAGAGAGCCTCAGCCCAGCTCTTCCGGGAGGAGGTGTTGGAGGCCACCCAACCCACCATGAGAGAAGGAGCAGGGGAGCCCACGCTCTCCAGTCTTTGAGTAGAAATCCAGGTCTGAGGCTCCACTTTGTGGAGAAGCCGGGAGAGAAGCCGGGACACTCCCAATTCTCTGTCTCCAAACTACCAGATCCCCAGGGCAAAGGTTCAAGGCTAAGGCCAAAACCTGAATCATCGGTTGTGACTCAGCTGGTGGCCCCCTGGGGACTCAGCCAGTCCAGGACACTGTGCCCTGTGGATGGAAGGGACAGCCTCCAGAGCCCAGCCTTTGTCCGCCTCGGTCCAATTCCCTGCTTCACTTTGGTGAAGGACACACAGAGGGGAGTTTCTTACTGAGATCTAGTAAGACTGCAAGGAGAGCCAACCAGTCCATCCTAAACAAGATCAGTCCTGAATATTCATCAGAAGGACTGATGTTGAAGCTAAAACTCCAACACTTTGGCCACCTGATGCAAAGAGCTGACCCATCTGAAAAGACCCTGATGCTGGGAAAGATTGAAGGAGGGAAGAGAAAGGGACGACAGAGGATGAGATGGTGGGATGGCATCACCAACTCCATGAGCATGAGTTTGAGTAGGCCCCAGGAGTTGGTGATGGACATGGAGGCCTGGCGTGCTGCGGTCCATGGCGCCACAAAGAGTCAGACACGACTGAGATACTGAACTGAACTGAACTGAAGAGCCTTGGTTGGGGGCTGAAAACACCTTTCTAAGAGGCCCCCAGAGAGCTGACGATGGAGCAAGGGTGCCTCACCCGCCAGGCACCGATCTGCCAGGACTGCTCCGACTCCTGGATCCTCTCTTCAAAGTCATGGAGTACGCCCAGCACCGTCTTCACCTGGCCCCGGGCACACAGGCCAAAGCACAGAATCACACCCTGCGGGGAGACCCAGTGGGCAGGGTGAGAGGGTGGGGCGGGGGACACCCCATCTGTCCCCCCGGCACATACACACACGGATAAACAGACACGCACGCGCACACTCAGATAAACACAATGCCCGCACACAGGCACAGGCGTGCACACACCACGTCCTCCCAAGGCCCGGGGGGACCACGGGCGCTCTCACTTCACGGTCGAAGTCGTCGCTGTAGTCCGTCTTGTAGAGCAGCTCCAGCAGCAGCACCTCCACCTTGTCGGCCTCCAGGCCCATGGCCAGGGTGAAGCCCAAGGCCCGGTACAGAAAGCCCTGGAGAGGCGAGAGGGATAGAGGGCGCTTCAAGCCTCCAGCCCGGGCCTCTGGGGTCACTGCCAAGGGTGGGTCCCTACTCGTTCCTCCAGGTTTAAAAATATGCCTTTTGGATATTTTCAAAATCAAGTATCCAGGCTACTTTGAGAGGTTAGCCTGTAGCAGGGCAGGCAGGTTACCAAGAGTGGGGGCCAAGTTTCTCTCCTATATAAATGGAATCAATCTACACTCCCACCAACAAACCTAGGAGCACTTATGTTCCTGCCTTCTCTCTGGCTTAGGATATTATCCGCGAGAGGTGGAATGTTTGCATCTTGGTTAGTCATCTTTGCATCTTCTCATGGTCCAATCTTGGAATTTCTGCCTCAATTCTTTCCCCATTGTTGGATTATGTCTCTTATATTTTGTTTACAAGAACATTCTGTGTACATTTGGGAAAAAATAACGAGACCAGACATATATTATCTCATTTAATCTGCACAACTACTCTGAAAGGCAAATCGGTATTTTGAGACGAGAACATTAGCAGGAAGTAGTAGAACCGGGGTTTAAAATCAAGCAGTCAAAAAGCCAAAACATAATACAGAAACAATACCATCACAAATTCAAAAAAGACTTCTGAAAAATGGTCCACATAAAAAAAAATCTTAAAGAAGGAAAGAAAAAACCAAGCATAGCCTGAAGCTCACTTCTTAAGTGATCACTCCTGTGGTCCATTTCCACAGTGTCTCATTTCTCTTTTGATTTTATTCACAATGATTTCATTTGGTCATGCAGACAATTTTCATTTTTCAGAGTACAGTTTTTTCTTTTCCTTTGTCTTTCTAAAAGATTCTTTTTATGCATATGAAGGTCTATTCTGTTCCATGTTAAGACTATAAAAATAGTCATCAGTACATTCTTCCTGTCACTCCATGGTTGTATTTCATTTCATACACTTACATCTTTGTTCTGAGAGAACAAATTCTTCTCTAATGAGCGTTTCTAAAAATATGCTCTTAGCTATTATTCTCTTACATTTTTTTAATTAGGGCAAACGTGGAAATAATTTTGTCAAATAAAACTCTCAGATTTCCACAAATTTCCCTTTTGGGAAATTAGAAGTAAATTGCATTGCAGAGTTTTGTTTGTTTTTTGGCTGCATCACTTGCTGTGCGGGATCTTTGTTCCCTGATGAGAGACCAAACCCTTCCCCTCTGCAGTGGAAGCACGGAATCCTAACCAGTGGACCACTAGGGAAGTCCCTGTCTTGCAGATTAACTTGAGAAAAAAAGGACACCTGAGCAACACTGAGACTTCCTATCCAAGAAGCAGAGATTGTGTGTGTTTGGTCAGGCTGTCTTTCAGCCTTCCTGCCCCTTCTTGTAATTTGGGGTTCTTCACCTTGGTTCCACATATTTCATATATTCACTATTTTTATTTGGTTACATATTTTACATTGTGTTGCTGCTTTGAATAGAGTCTCTTTTCATTATGTTGTATTTTTGTTTTGTTTGTTTATAGGAGAGATTATGGTTTTGCCTGTTACTTTTGGGGAAAAGAATGACTCTATCTACCAGAATTACAAATCTGGAGGCTTCAGCAGCCTTGCCCCCCACCCTCCCCAGAGGATTCCTGTTTGAGTGATGAAGAGTCTGGGAGAGTCCTGATGAAATTCCTTAAGCCACTGTATCCAGTCTTGACTTTTTAAGCTATCTGAGCCAATGAAACCCTATTTATTTGTTACTTTCATTTAAGCTAGGTGAGTTATTGTAATAAGGTTGAATTACATGCATTGGCTTATTAAATACTACACACAAGTTTCTTTCAAATGGGCATCTGGCCCCAAACTGATATCTGATAAGATCTCACACCCACAAATCTATGGCATTTAGCTATAGAAGATATACATTGCTGTGTATATTTTACATATGCTATTATGAAGGGTGCATATTTGAACAAATGAAAACTTTAGTTGACTTCTCTAAAAATTCTTTTTAAACATCTTCATTGAAGTATAATTGACATACCGCTAAATGAGCCCATTTAAGGTTTAAAAATTTTAAGTTCACACATTTACCAAGTTGTGTGATAGCCATCACAGCCAAGGTTAGGACATTTGCATCACCCCGAAAAAGAAATCCTGTACGCACTGGCAATCACCCCACATTCCCCTCATCCATGAGAACCACCCTTCTAATTTTCTGCCTCATTAGATTTGCCTGTTCTGGATATTTCAAATAAGTGGAACCACATCATACGCGGTCCTCTGCACCTGCCTTCTTGCACTTACTGTGTAATGTTTTCAAGGATCATCCTTACTGTAGCAGATGCGAGCACTTAATTCCTTTTCATGGCTGAATACTACTCTGTTGTATGGATATAGCACATTTTGTTTATTCATTCATCCACTGACAAACACTTGAGTTTTTTCTACTTTTGGCTATCTGAATGATGTTGCTCTGAATATTTACATACAAGCTCTTGTGTGGACATATGTTTTAATTTCTTCTGGGCATATATAGTTAAGAGCATAATTGCTAGGTCATAGGTAGCTCCATATTTAACATTTCAAGAAAATGCCAAACCGTTTTTCAAAAACACTGTACCGTTTTGTATTTATACCAGCAATATATTAGAGTCCCAATTTTTCCATACTCTTGTCAGTACTTGTTATCATCTGTCTTTTTGATTACAGACATCCTGAGTGTGGAGTGATGCCTGAGGTTTTGATTTGCATTTCCTTAGTGGCAATGGTCTTGAGAATGTTTTCATGTGATTACTTGCCATTTGTATATCTTTCCTTTGCCCATTATTAAATTGGCTTATTTGTCATTATATTATTGAGTTACAAGAGTCCTTTATATATTCTAGATATCAGTACCTACTCAGGGACTAGATTTGGAAATATTTTCTTTCATTTGGTGGGTTATTTTTCACTTTATTGACGGTACCATTTTCAGCACAAAAATTTTTAGATTTGATGATGTTCAATTTATCTATTTTTTCTTTCATCACTTGTGCTTTTGGGTGTTATTTCTCAGAAGACTTTGCTCAGGCCAAAATCATGAAGACTTATATTTATGTTTCACTCTTAGAATTTTATAGTTCTACCTTTTATATTTACATATATGGTCCATTTTGAGTTCATTTTTGTGTATGGAATGAGGAAGGGGCCCAACTTCATCATTTTGTAAGTGGCTATGCAAGGCTTCCCAGCATCATTTGTTGAAAAGACAAATCCTTCCCCACTGAATTGTCTTGGTACTCTTGTTGAAAATCAATGTGAGGTCTATTTCCAGACCCTCAATTCTATTCCATCAATCTATTATCTATCCTGATGCCAGTATCACCCTGTCTTGTTTACCGTAATTACGCAAGAAGTCTAGAAATTGCAAAATCTGAGTCTTCCAAATTGTTTGTTTTTTAAATCATAACTGTGTTGGCTATTCTGGGCCCCTTATAATACCACAGGAATTTTAGGATCACATTCTCAATTTCTGGGGATGGGGGCAGGAAGCCAGCTGGGATTATAGAGGGGGTCTTGTTGAATATATAGATAAATTGGCAAGTGTCACCATCTTAAATATAGTGTCCTCTAATCTGTGTACATGAACTGCTTTCCATTGGTCAAGACCCTCTCTGATTTTCAACAATGTTTATAGTTTTGTAAAGACCCCTCAACGATGAAATATACACACGCAGTGGTCATGAGCCAACAGCTGGATGAGACAGGGAGGAGAAACGAGTGTGTGGGGAGGGATGGGGGTGGGTGTGCAGCATGGTTTGATAGAAGGTGTTCTGTCTTCTACCCCCGTCTGCCAAAGGGGGAGGTCCACCACCAAGGCCCAGCTCCACTTCCCCCTCCAGGCCTTATCTTCCCCCTTGGGCATCCTGTGGATCGGTGCCACCTTCACCCTTTTCACTATTTACCAAAACACATTCAGATCTCATTCCTTGCCATGGACTCTGCTAGGGACGACACTGCAGGTGGGGGTGAGGTGACAGGAATGAGGAAGCTGGTGACTGGAGGGGAAATGCCCTCCAGATTCAACGAAGCAGGTTCTTGAGGGGAAAACAAGACAGAACAAAACACTGCAGCCCTCGGGTCTGGACCAGCCAGCCGTCTCCCCTCCCAGGGCGCTGTGGGCAGCCTCAGGCCTACCTGGCCTCACGGGGGCTGTCCCCGGAGTCCCCTCCCTGTCTGAACGGCCCTGCCTCTGGGAACCAACCTTCTCCAGGGAGGGGCTGTCGAAGCTCTCGATCTGGTTGTTCAGCTCTTTGCTCAGACGCAGGCTCCAGCTGGAACCCCGAGTCATCTTGAGGGAGTTTCTCAGAAACTGGGGGTGGGGGAAGAAGGCAGAGGTGGGCAGTGCTCCAGAGGGTGGTGCTCCTCGGCCGTGACTCTCCCCCTCCAGCGCCTTCCCCGGTCTCTAGAGGGCTTCCCCTTTCAGCCCCGACCCAGCCCTAGTGCTGTGCGGGCCTGGGGGCTGCCGGGAGGGGGTCACCCTGTGCTGCCTCCGGGGCTTTGGCTTCCAGGGTGGGGTCTCCTGCTGTAGCTGCCTGTGCTCCCCGAGTCTTGTGATAGGAGGGGAACGTGTCCCCTATGGGCTCCTGAACTCCCCCCACACCAAACCCACAGAGAGCTGCCCCCACCACCCCCACCCCGGCCTCAGGTGGCGGGATCACCTCTACCTGAATCAGCTTGTCCTCCCACATCTTCTGGTTCCAGGTAAACTCGGTGTGTTCTGCAGAGAGAAGGGCCACCCCTGCTCCTCTCTCCTGCGGCTCCTCCCCGCCGCCTCCTAAATGCAGCATCTGGGGTCCTCCGTGGACGGGCTCCCCACAGCCCCACGTCCCTCCCCACCCTCCCAAGGAGCAGAGTAGGCTGTGCCGGCCACCTGGAGCCCGGGCACCTTTGCTCAGTCCACATGACTGGTTCTCAGCATGTACAGTGATGTGAGGTGGCTCACACACCCTGGGCTCCTTTGCTCAGACCAGGTGGTGAGTACCCGGCATGTACACTAGGGGTGTGTGGGGGGATCACACATGCATCGGGCTCCTTTGCTCAGCCACAGGTCTAGCACCCGGCGGGTACACTTAGGGGGTGGCTCACACATGCACCCGGGGCATCTCACCTTCCAGGTACTTGACCAACAGCGGGATCTCCAGCTCCCACATGTCGGCCATGGAGGGGGCGACGCTCTGTCTCAGGGTCTTCAGAAGGTTGAGCATGGCGATTCCGCGTCCCTCCCCCTTGTAGGGGGATGACATTAGTACCTAGGGAACACCAAGACTCCAGTGGGGCCCCTCGCTGGCTGGGTAGCCCCAGGCCCCGCATGCCCCAACCTGGGGCCTCGCTGTCCGAGCCCATAAAGGGAGAGTTGGACAGGATGGGGCATTTCAAGCAGAGCTCCGAGGATTCCCAGGATCAGAGCATCCCTGCAGAGGATGCTGAAGGCAGGAAAGGAGACACGAGAGCATGGGCTCCCTCCCCACCCCGGGTTCCATGGAGCTTGGAGCAGGGTCAACACAAGGAGGAGGATGCATGGTGCAGGGTGGAGCTGACCCCCAGGGAAGGGCAGACTGCTGACAGAGTCCTGCGGATGCTTGGAGCCAAAGGCCCAGCAGAGAAATCTGGGAGCCTGCTGCCCTTGCCATATCTACCCAGAGAAATGACGGGGACCTAGAAAGCTCTGTCCTGCCAAGCATCCAGCTCCCTGCTCCCCCTGGAGGACCTGGGGATTAGGAGCTCATGGGAAGGGCTCTGCAGGACACAGTGGGGGCCAGGCCAGTGCATGACCTGTGAGCCACTCACCAGGAGTCGGGCCAGCAGCTTCTGTGGTGCGGGCAGATCCACTGGGGAAAGAAAGATACAGCACACTGAGGCTGCCCCCCTCCCATACCCCGGGGGAACTTCCCCTGTAAGGTGTTGCCCCAACAGCATCCCAGCACCCCCCAGAATTCAGGAGGGGTCAGGATGGGGGATTTTCCACAAAGAACATCACTACAACTGGCCATCCCGGGAAGGAGGAGCCTGGTGCTATGGGCTGGTGCTGAGAAGATGCTTTTTTTTTTTTTCAATTTATTTATTTATTTATTTAAATTGGCGGCTAATTACTTTCCAATATTGTGGTGGTTTTTGCCATACATTGACATGAATCAGCCATGGGTGGACATGTGTTCCCCATCCTGAACCCCCCTCCCACCTCCCTCTCCATCCCTTCCCTCAGGGCCATCCCAGTGCACCAGCCCTGAGTGCCTGCCCTGTTTCATGCATTGAACCTGGACTGGCGATCTATTCCACATGTGGTAATGTACATGTTTCAGAGCTATTCTCTCACAACATCCCACCCTTGCCTTCTCCCACCAAGTCCAAACATCTGATCTTTACATCTGTGTCTCTTTTGCTGTCTCGTATATAGGGTCATCATTACCATCTTTCTAAATTCCATATATATGCGTGCATATACTGTGCTCTTTTCAGGACGTGCCTGCCTGGGAGTGCACCCCCGGCCGGCCTGAGAGTGTTTCTCTCCTACTGTGAGTCTTGGCCTCGTTTAGCCAACAGTAACTAGACACCGCCCCCTCCCCTCCCCTCCCTCTGCAGGCTTTGGGAGGCTGTGAGCCCACGAGTAGGGTGCTCACAGCATTTGGACCAGTGAGCGAGGGAAGGGCAGGCCTGCTGGAAGCTGCAGGGAGGGGCGGCACCCAGGAAGGAGCCAGCCCTAGACTCAGGGTGGGGGCAGGAGGCAGACTAGGGGTGGTCTAGCCAGATGCTCAGAGCAGGCTCTGCCCCTACTATCTCTGGGTCCTGTAGGCTCGCAGTCACCTTCTATCACCGGCCACATCCATCCTCAAAGCCCCAGGACCATGACAGCAGCCCCCTGGGACAGCAGGGTCCCCGTAAGTAGGTCGGTCTAGTCCCTTTCTTGAGGATCTGGTGCTAACAAGTGCATAATCATGGTGAGTCGGAGGGCCTGGTGGGGGTGGTTCCAGAGGCCTCAGATAGGATATACAGTCCTTCCAGTGGGTTCTCGGGGACCAGAGAGCTCACACCTGCGGGAAGCCTGAGCCAGGACCCCTGCCCTGGGGTCTGGGCCAGGGTGGGTGGGAGGCGGGATGAGAGGAGTAGGCTGCCAGAGCAAGCGTGCATGGCTTTAACCTCCTCAGATTTCAGCAAGGGCGGCCTCTTTGGCAAGGCCTGGCTCTCTGGGCTCCAGGCTGCGTCCTGGAGAAGGGGGAGCGGTCCAAGGCACGGGGCGGCCCACCTGCCCAGTCCCTCCAGCTGGCGCAGGGGGGCTGCCCACCGTGCCTGCTCTTGCTTGCGTTGGCCTCCTCGTCGTTGGCATGCAGCTGGCGCTCGGCCAGGTTGGTGAGGCTGATGCAGATGGGGGTCAAGGCCTCCGTGTAGTCCGTCTCCATGATGTAGCATAGGAGCCTCACCCAAAATTCCTATGGCGGGTGATGGGGATAAGGTGGGGGTGCTGGGATCAGCCTGCCTGGAAAACGCACAGTCCTGCGATGAGATGGTCGGTCCCTCCCCACCCCGACAGCCTTGTCTCAGCCTCGCTTCTCCAGAACCACACTCCGACCCACTGACTGACCGCCTCAGGCCCGCCGGCTCTGCTGTCCAGCCTGGGTCTCGGCCAAGGCCGTCTAAGCTGCACCTACCCCATGGCTGAGGGGGTCAGCTAGTCCTGGGCCCTTGACCTCTGTGCCCCCTGCCTCACTCCAACCCCGCAGCCAGCACATCCTCTTTGAGCAGCCCTCCCTCTAACCCCCTATCCCCTGAGAGGCACACTGGGCAGACAACTTAGCCATGCTTGCCAACTGTGATGATTAGTTTCTATGTGTCAACTTGGCAAGTGAATGCACACAGTTATTCAATCAAACACTAATCTAGGCATGGCAGTGAAGCTATTTTGATATAATTTGATGAAAGTCCATAATCCATATAGGAGGTTACTCTGGAAAATGTGAGTGGACTTGATCAAATCAGTTGAGGGCAAAAAACAGGTTTCCCTGAGGAAGAAGAGAGTTTGCCTCAAGGTTGCAGCCTCAGCTACTGTCTTAGTTTTCAGTCTGCCAGCCTACCTCCTAAAATTCACACTTTCCGGCCTTCACAATTGCACAGTACATAGGTTGTTGTTCAGTTGCTCAGTCATGTCTGACTCTTTGCGATCCCATGGACTGCTGCACGCCAGGCCTTCCTGTCCTTCACCACCTCCCGGAGTTTGCTCAACTCATGTCTATACAGTCGGTGATGCCATCCAATCATCTCATCCTCTGTTGTCCCCTTCTCCTCCTGCCTTCAATCTTTCCCAGCACCAGGGTCTTTTCCAGGAAGTCAGCTCTTCCCATCAGGTGGCCAAAGTATTGGAGCTTCAGCTTCAGCATCAGTCCTTCTGATGATTATTCAGAGCTGATTTCCTTTTGTATTGACTGGTTTGAGCTTCTTGCTGTCCAAGGCACTCTCAAGAGTCTTCTCCAACACCACAATTCTAAAGCATCAGTTCTTTGGCACTCAGACTTTTTTATGGTCCAACTATCTCATCTGTACATGACTCCTGGAAAAACCATAGCTTTCACTATGCAGATCTTTGTCTGCAACGTAATGTCTCAGCTTTTTAATATGCTGTCTAGGTCTGTCATAGCTTTTCTTCCAAAGAGCAAGAATCTTTTAATTCCATGGCTGCAGTCACCATCTGTAAAGATTTTGGAGCCCAAGAAAATAAAGTCTGTCACTGTGTCCATTGTTTCCCCATCTACTTGCTGTGAAGTGATGGGACCGGAGGCCATGATCTTTCTTTTCTAAACGTTCAGTTTTAAGTCAGCCTTTTCACTCTCTCCTTGTACCTTCATCAAGAGGCTCTTTAGTTCCTCTTTGATTTCTGCCATAAGGGTGGTGTCATTTCCATATCTGAGTTTATTGATATTTTTGAGATACACAAACAGACACACACAGACACACATACATATCTCCTACTGGTTCTATTTCTGTACAGGTTCTTCGAGCCATGACTCTAGCCTTTCAGCTTCACCCTGCCATCTCCCATCTCGCCAGGTGATCACTGAACACCCCCAGTGACCCTGATTCCCTTTAGCCCCACTCCCACACCTAGGAATCTGGGGTGACCTCCTGTGCTAGTAACAAGTGAATCTGCTTGATGTGTTGTAGCCATCAGGACTAGAATCCCTGGCTACTGGGTTCCCCCAGGGACGCAGCATAATGAACAGGAAAGACCATTTTATCCTGGCTCCACTTTTTACCAGCTTAGAATCCTTGAGGAAATTAATGAGTCCCTCTGAGCCTCAGTTTCCTCATTTAGAAAAGCTAAGTAATAATAACAACAGACCTTACCTCACAGGGTGGTTGGGATAATTGAATAAGATTCTAGATACTACACATCTAGTACAGTGCCTGCCACGTGTACTCAATGAATTGTAACCACTATTATTATTTTTACTATAACTATCATTTTTGTAATTAGGAGAAGCCGCCACTGGATGGGGAGCATCCGGCCCATGGCCTCAATTAACAGACAGTGGTTCCCTCCATGTGCAGTCATGGGAAACTTTCCCTATCTTACTGTTATGTCACATTGTAACGCAATTAAAAACTGACACATTTGATCCCCTAAAGCCTGTGAACAGCTTGGGGTCACACTGAGCCTTCCTGTGTGTTCCCGGATGCCTCACACAGAGTTGGAACTCGTGAGTGTTTGTGAAATATAACCCCTAGAGTCACTTATTTGCACACGCACACATGTACACACATGCACACATATGCATGGGCTCCCCAAGCAGCTCTAGTGGTGAAGAATCTGCTTGCCAATGCAGAAGACAGGTTTGATGCTTGGTCTGGAAGATCTTCTGGAGGAGGAAATGGCATGCCACTCCAGTATTCTTGCCTGGAAAATTCTATGGGCAGAGGAGCCTGGTGGGCTACAGTCCATGGGGCCACAATGAATCGGACAGAACTGAGTGACTGAATACATGTGCGCGCGGGCACACACGCACCCCTGGACTGAGGGGCTTTAAGGTGATGGATGCACTTCAAGCAATAAGTCAAGTGATACGTATTAGGCCTACTGTGTGCCAAGCACTGCCCTGCTGAAAAGGTAATAAGTTCCCATGAAGGAAGTGAATCTTGAAAAACGAGCTCAGGTAATTGAAAGACCTGGGGCCGCCCATCTTCCCAGGTAGTGGGAATGGGAGAAGCAACAGTGCAGAATTCTGGGCCTGTGCCATCCTCCCCGCACAGCCTCGCACAGCACAGACATGAGCCATCAGCCCCAGTGGGCCAACTCACATTGCTCATCCCACTGACAGAAGAGGTTATGATCCTCACGGTGTCCATGGTGACCTTGTGGACCATCTTCTCTTCTAGGCCCCTCTGATAAAAGCTGTCCCTGCGGTTGGTCTGGAAGACAGAACCAAGGAGTGCCTGCTTGTGGGCTGGCAGGGTCTTGTCATGGTCTCACCTGTGGTTTACTTTCCTGTAAGAGGCTTACACCCAGATACTGAGTCTCCCGGAAGCCCAGCGCTGTGCACGGGTTTCACTGTTTTCTAGACCCCTGGCAGCTGACTCTGTGTGTGTGCGCTTGTACATGCATGCAGGTTCATTGAGCAGTGCTCTCTCCTTAGCGCAGTGGGAACCATTTCTAAAGCCCAGCCACTCCGCCGTCACTCACCAGTTTGTAGGTGGACAAGGTCAGCTGCACAGACACGTACTTCAGGCCCCAGCCTTTGATCCTGTCCTGGAATCCAGACAGGGCCAGCTGCCCGATGATGCGGAGAATGGCCATCCTCACCTGAGAGGCCAGAGCACAGACATGCTGGGCGCTAGAAGTTCCACCGGCACCAATCCCATGACATGAGACAGCTAAGATTTGAGGGCGCTGTGGTCTGGAAGGGGTCTCTGGGGCTACCTGGATGCTGCCCACTCTGTGCACCACTGCCTGCCTCATGCAGGGGACCCGGCTCAGCAGCAGGTCTACCCAGGAGCCTCATCTGTGCCCTTCAGAGACATGAGCACACTGCTTTCTCGGTGGGGCTGCTCCATCCTCAGGCGGCCCTGGGGAGAACCACCTGCCTCTTCTCTCGGGCTCCCCAGGGCTCACATGTGGGGACGACACAGAACAAGCCTATTCCCTCTGCCCCTGACATCCTCCAGGGACTGAAGACAGCTCTGCCTCAGACTCAAGACCGAGCACCCTGTTCCCTTCCTGGCTTGTGCAGACCCTCACCATCCTGAACTGCACCCCAGGACACGAGGGGTCCCCGCAGGGGCCGTGTCCAGAAGCCAAGCTATTCCCCAGGGGGCCGAGGCTGCCGTGGCCAAGATGGGGGGTTTTAGCCTTTATTTGCAGAGTTGCTTTTCTCAAGTGTGGTAATGACCTTACAAAACACCTAGCTAGCCA